TTCACAGCAGTCCAAGTGGCTATAGTGGCTGTGCTAGTTTTGGCCTGTCCCTGTGTTTTCACACCTCCCCAGGCAGCACCAACACAGCAGTGTGTTAAAAAAAAAAACTTGAAAAAAAAGAAGTCAAAGTAAGACAGTTGTTACCACCTTTCCTGTTTTAAATGGGTTGGAAATAGGCCAAAAGCTGGGTGCTTGAGCTCAGCAGTGAATTTGTGGAAGACCTACTGGAAGACAGCTACAACTGAACATTATTCCAGCTGCTGAGCACACAGCTCTTTGAACCTGCATCTCTTTACACACCCCGATATCGTCCAGCAGGCAAGGGACACCCTTGTGTCCATGGGACACACCCCTTGTGTGCAAGGGACACCCTTGCACCCATGTGCAGCTGGAATCCCAGCCATAAAGCATATTCCTCATGGGCAAAAGAAGTCTGCTCACAGCTAAGTTCCCAAAATTGTTTCCCTGTGGACTGGTTGGGATTCCCTGGCAAAGTGACATCCAGCAGCAAGTGACCCAGGCTGGCCGTGACAAGTGCTCGTTGAATGCTGCTTAGGCAAAGTGGCACAATTCAGTGTTAGTATTCCTTTGGTGATTTTAGAAGACTGAACAGCTTTGGGCTGAGATGGTGGAGCTCACAAGTTAAGACCCTAAGGTGGAAATGCAGTCCCATTACTACTACTGTTTTTGTTGCCAGGGAGCATTTGGAGACTGTGGAGTCCTGTGTTGAAGGCACAGTGCTGAGTCCCCTCTCTGCCATCAGCTCTTTTCTTGCATTTAAAGTTTCTGCAACTTCAGTGTCTTTTCAGCAGTATTACAGTCCTCATCCCAGACCACAGCATGAATACAAGTGGAAGAATTAACAAGGTCTCTGCACAAAAGGTAGCAGCCCACAAAGCAGGACTTTCCCACCTTTATAACTGCACATACAGTTCTATGCAATCTTATTGCTCTAGCACAAGACTTTTAGCAGAGCAACCAGCTCTTGTTATCTTCTCTAATTTAGATTTTTGTTGCTTAAATCTTCTAGGTTAGTGTTCTGCACTTTACTAATATTTAATCTGCATTTTTTAAAGCTTTGTAAAAAAATTTGTTTCAATTTTGACATTTGATGATTTCTTTTTCTGGTTTGACTAATTCAGTTGTTAATTTTAAAGATTTACATGCGCATCCTTTGCTGCACTGTTTGTCCTCTTCTGCCCCATGGACATCCCTCCCTCCCTTCAAAGTAAAAAATCTGTGTCTCTCTCACCACTGCTACCTACCCATAGAGGAGTGAGATCTGCTACATGGTTTCCAACGCTCTTATCTTTTTTAATTTCCTTTTACTGTAAGTCACCATAATTGTGCCTTTCTTCAGTGAAGCACAAAGGTTTTCCCTGTTCTTCATTGCCTCTGCCAGCACCTGCTCTAAAACTCACATCTGGGGTTGCTGCTTTCAGCCCCTTACTGCACGCTGGAACGAGCATCAGCTCACATCTGTCTCCACAACCAGCTAACAGTGCTCACCCAACTGCACCTAAGCATGTTCAACAATGGGTCAAGGATGACTGAGGAAAACCAGCAGCTCTGAAGCAGCAACTGGAGGGGAGCCCACAGGAACGTGACCAGCAGGTGGCTGGTCCTGAGTTTTTTAAGCTCAGTCAGTATCTATCCTTGCAGAAGTGGAAAAGCTGTGAGGCTTATGGATTTCAGATACCTTTGTCTATAGGAAGCAAATGAAACCCTGAAACATTTTTCAGCTTACACCACATCCCTATGCCTTCTGCAGATGAAAGGAAAGGCAGAAGTCTGGGACCGCAGACTTCCTCCTTCTCTTCCTCCTCTCACAGAGACCAGCCTAGTCGGAAGGAAACTTATCTCCACTGCAGAAAACAGACACAGCCTCTGGTGGAAAAACACAGGCAAAGCCCAAGGGAAACCCTGGGGGCAAAACCAGCAACTTTGCATCAAACTTCCTCAGCATTTGTGGCTTAGGAGATGCCTGTTTTTTTTGGAACCATGCTTTAATGCCGTGCAAGAGTCCAGCTCAGGACTGCTGTTCATGCACTCTGGGCAATAAAGCAATGCCAGCTTACAAAAACCACAGGCCTGAAGGCAGTATGGCAGGAGGGCACGTTCACAATGCACCCAAGCTCTCCTTGTGCAACTTCTTTCCGGGCCTGCACTCACATTTCTATGATTTTCACTCTCCTTTCTCTGTAAAAGCAAAAATTGCAATTCTCAAAAGAGCAACTGCACCAGGAGATTGGGCTTCAAGGAAAAAAAAAAAAAAGAACAACAAAAAAAAAAGCCCTCAAAAGCCCACATTTATTGTCAAAGTCTCTAAAATTATGAGATTTGACAATAAGTCTTTTGTTCTTATGGTAACATGCAACTAGGCAACATGCAGCTTGATTTCTGCAGCCAGTAGATATTCAAAGTACTTTTCACATACAATAGGTGTCAATTTGACTTTATTTAAGGAAAAACGGGGAAAAAACAGTAATTTCCATAATACACAGAAGACAAGTTAGATAGCACTGCAAAAAAAAGGCTGAGTGTTTTACTTGTCACCAGTCTGCTTTGCAGCTCTACGATTAGTAATTTTAATGCAGTTTGTCATTTTGTATTATTGTTTAGCATCTTTATAATCAGCAGAGTTTGGGGTTATAAATCACAAAAAGTGTACTACTACTACTATGAAAAACTAAAAAACCCACAAAAATCACTTTCAAATAAACCATAAATATGTGATGCACATTAGTGTAACAAAACCATTTTTGTAAACATTTTCTCCAACATAACATGTGCATAAGATAAAAAATAAAAACACTGCAGTCATACAAGTTAGGGTTACTTTGACTTAAAGATACAGAAAATTATTACTTATTAAAGCTTAAAACTAAACCTAGGAGCTTTTCTTTTCTTCTTTGCTTACAAAAGCACTGTTTGAAGAGTTCGATGTTGGTATATGAAGTGGTTTTGTAATACTGTTTTTACCTTGCCATGTTGGCACTTCTGTGGAGGCAGAAGCTGCCAGATGGGCAGACCCTCTGAAGGAAGGAGATTTCCACCCTCCCCCGGAGCCTCAAAACTTCAACAGCACATATCCATGACCTGGGCATCCCTATAGCACTGGAGCATCTTCCTCTAGGTGAACAGCAATCAGCTTTCAAGGACTAGATTAATTTTGACCACATAGCACTGGAAGATTTAAATCACGCAGACTGACATTCGATCGAATCAGCTTCGGCAAACTACACTACAGGGCAGCTCTGTGATCACACCCATGTCTACCATCACGTTGTGTCTCCGAGTCCCCTTTAGTTCATTATAGTACAAAAGGTCGATCGTTCTTCTGGCTGACCACACCGGGCCTGAAAAGAACACATCCTTCACCTTCAACACTATCCAAAAGTCATACAATTAAAAAAAAATAGTTCTAGGTATTCCTCCGCCAGCAAATGTAAGGCTTTCTTGAGTTTTGATTCTTTTTGGGGGTGGGGGAGTGGGGGTTGCTGTGTGCACACGCATGCGCTGGAGGTTACGCATTTACCGCTCGCTTTTCAGCCGTCTGCGATGCTCGAAGGAGAGTCCTCAGCAGCAGCGCTGATCGGGGTTGAAGGATTTACAGCAGTCAGATTTGACACCAAAAGAAGGGTCTGTTGAGTCTGAGCTTTGCACGCTTGGTGCTCTTGGCTCTTAATTGATTGTGTGACCAGTCGCTCGAGCCATCAGCTTGACTGAATTGAAGAACACGTGTTTAAAAAGCCCTACCTGTCATGCCATGAAGGAAAGTTAACCACAGCAGAAGACAAAGCCCATGAAACACTGAGAGCCTGTTCACTGAATGAACAGCTTAAGGCAGCTGTCAGCAAAATACCCCACCAAAGGAATTAGGGGGAAAAAAAAAAAAAAAGAAAACAAAAAGAAAAATGGCTGAATCGTGACACTGTGCATTATTACAACACCAACAGATTATTATACACTCAAGATTTCTCAAGTAATGAACATGTAGCCACTAAACAAATTATTACTCTCAAGACATTTATTAAAATGTCAGAACTTATTCATAAAATAAAACTGACTTAAAAAAAAAGAAAAAAAAAAAAAAAGAAAGGAAAAAAGCCAGAGCTGGGATCTTACATCTAAACACAGGTATACGCTGTTTTTATGAATAAGCAGTATTAACTACATTCTTAAAAGAGTTTTAGTGCATTGCATTCTTAAAAAAGAAAAACATCACCGCCCCAAAATGTTTCCTACAACATTTAACAATTTATAGAACTAGCCTAGTTACTTTTACCTGCCTGTTACTAAGCCCATGTGTTAGAAGAGTCAAACCTCTGGTTTAGGCTAAAGTCATACTTCTATTAAGGATGAAACTGGTTTAAAAAATGCTTGCTTTACCAAATTTTGTAAGCAGATTACATTAATCAGTGTCTCACTGCCATACCGCTACGACTATTGCCCCAAGGGACTACTCGCTCCTCCTGCTGAAACTTGCTATGCAATAACAGTCAGAAACCTTTCAATCTGGTAGTTTTGGTATTAAGATTAAATTAGACATTAATGGTTTTCTTCTAAAAATGTATAAACTAAACCACCTCTTTTATTTTATGCATTAAAAACAATGAGGTAGGCACAAAAAAATAAACATATGTAGTTTGGATTTTATTTCTCTTTTTTTTCTTTTTTTTTTTTTCTTTTTTTTTTTAGTTCTGCGAGTGCAGACTGTGGTAAAACTGTTGTTGCACTTCTAGGTTTAAACAAAAATTAAACCTTTAACTGAGGCAGTGCTAATACTGTGACATAACCAAGTTCTGGCCTAACACAGAATCATTATAGAAAATGAATTTTTTTTTCCTTTTTTTTTTTAATCACCTGCACATGTTTCAGGCAACACCTGGTACACAGAAAATTACTAAAGTTATTGGCCAGGCCAAAATAAAACTGCAGAAACAAAAAAACCCTAAGAATTCCACCCCAAGCCCCTTCCCACCCTCCCTGTCCCCAAAAAGAAGTTATCCTAGTCACTGTGTCTTTCACATTTTATAAATATTAACTTCTTAAAACCTGCCCCTTCCTCTTCGTCCACATATTGTCACATTACAAAAAAGAAATGTCAATTAAATACATTGTTAACATTACTAGACTAGATCTGCCCTCTGTTTCAGCCAGTCTGACACTCTACACACCACTTCTCACCTTCTCTTGCCTGCCTTCCGTCCACTCAACAAACAGCATGGTCATGGTAAGCCTGGTTTGTTTTTCTTCCGTTTCCCCCCCCTCCCTCCTCTGTTTTAACACTAACAAACAGAGTCCTTCAAATCCTAGGAACACTGGAGCTGAAGGGAAAAGAAGACCTGTAGCTTTCTAGCGTGATCCCAAATCTCAAAGACATTGTAGCACCTGATGGCAATATCTTTACAGCACCAGCTGCCTCGCAGCCTCAGTTGAAAAACATAAAGAAACCTAACACCAGTGATGCCTGCACACACATTTACACAGAGTGCTGCACTCGTGCAGGTCTGTACTCCAGTTGAAAGTAATTCCAAGTTATGAAGATCTCAGACTCTGGATGTCAGCAATTCCTCTCCAAATCTCACTGCTTCTACCAGCTCAGAAGTGAAGTCCTGCCAAGGGTCATGAAATAGACTTGACTGCTTCCACCTGACCGCACGGAGGCAAAGAAAACCTGCAAAGAAAAGACATTGGCAAATTCAACAGGCAGGACAGCAGTGGTTCCAATGTGCTTTCACTCTCCCAGTATTTGCAGTGCAATTGCAGTGCTGGTCTGGGCTGGTGGGGATGGAACTGATGCTCCTCTTAGCCGCCTGTGGGGTGCAGGGCTCTGCACCTATGTTAAACAGTGTTGTTAACACATCCCTATTTTGGCTACTGCTGAACAACACTGGCACAGTTATCAAGGCTTTCTCTCCAGCTCCCTCACCCCTAAAAGGCCAGTGGGCTGGGATGGGCAAAAAGCTGGAAGGGGACAATGCTGGGACAGCTGACCCAAACTGACCAAATGGATGTCCCATAACATACAGCATCGTGTTCACCAATAAAAGCTCAGGGAAAGGAGGGACACTGTGGTGATGACATCTGCCTTCTCAAGCAAGCATTTTGTGTGGAAAACATGTGGACATCCACCTGCCCATGGGAGACTATGTATTAAGTCTTTATTTTATAGTCTGGCTTGCATGTAGAAGATGTCTTATTAAACTGTCCATATCTCGATCCATGAGTCTTTTTGCCTTCTGACCATTTCCTTTCCCTTCCATGGGTAAGGGGAGAGAGCTTGAGGCTGGCTGGGTGTTTGGCTGCAGCTCAGGGTCACCCCAGCCTGAGCACCCAACTGAAGTACATGTTTATAATCTTGGCAAAAACCTAGGGGGGAGGGAATGTACCTTGTCGTTGCGTTCACATAAGAATTTGAGTCTTTGTGCCCTTTTGTGCATGAACACACCATCCAAGTGTCCAGTTTCCACCGACCGTATTTCGATTGCTTTTTCTCCCCAGCCCATGATCTGGTTAGATCGGATGTATGCTTTGGAAAGAAAACAGCACATTAGGACAGGCAGAGGGCAACAGGAGAAATGGGAAAAGCATGGAATATCCTGACACAGTCTAGTTAAAAATTACCTGCATGTGCGTTATTGTACCTACACGCATGTTCAGAGGCCTATTTCTGTCCTCAGAACATTCAAGATGCCTAAAAAAATTTTTAAATTTTAATTTCTTTTGCGTGTTTCCTATGTTATAAACTTCTTCCTTGAGCATTCATAACAAAGGAAACTTTATAACCTTTAATTAAATGGAAGGAACATTGAGTTTTTACACAGGCCTTTTCTTCCAAGTCTGAGACAAAGAGACATATTAATTAGGTGTTGACTAGGAGAAAGCAGAAGCCAAGGTTTAAATAGACTAAGCCCATCCACTACAGTGTGTCCCATGCACCAGCTCTATGTCTTATGTGTTATTTTCCCTCCTTGATGGAGTTTGTCAGCAAAAACAAAGAATGAGAGGGAAAGGTAAAACTAGAAAAAAATTACCTAGCCTCTCTTAATAGGAGTAATAATTGAAAAACTGATCTCCTTGAGAAAGCCAAATGCAGATCATTCTGTGTGGCTCACAAGAGGCTCACATTAAGCTTTCAATGTAGAAATATTATTATTTGACATACTGCATCCCTTTGTGTACAAATACAACAACAAATCAAACATTTTTCCTTCAAGTGTCACAGGTAAAACAGATTAGTAGTAGCATGAGCAAAAAAAAAAATCTATTTTTGATAGCAGTAAGCAAATGAAATAAAAAGTGAAGTCACCAACATTATAGAAAGGTATATTCACAAAGCAACTTTGTGGATAGTTTCAGGAATGCTGTCAAAAATAACATAAGGGAACTTAATGAAGACTAAGCTATTGCCTCTGATTTGCATGCATACTTAACAGAAGAATAAAAAGGACTTCCTGGCCAGCAAAATTTAAAAATATTTACTATTACAGTACTTTCCTTTTATATAACATATTCATAGTAGTTTTCAGTGAAATTAAATCAAATTATCTTCTACAGTAAAATGTACACCAACAGTGCATATACCATCCTGATGGTATAAAGGAAAATTATTCCTTTTTAAATTCTCCACTAGTGCTAACTGGGCCCAATAGTTAATAAAAATTGCCAGATGAGATGTTCAGATGGTGTTGGTGGCCTCAGTGCCATTTACTACTTCACAAGCATTCAAGTATCCAAGACTCTGGAATTGGCCAGCTGATATATTCTGCTTGCTTTTAGGATCTAGTCAAGAGTTAATCAGCACAGGAGGGAACACGCTGTGCATCTAACTTCTTTCAATTTCCTCCTGCATTGTTGCTCCTGTTGCTCAAACAGCTATCAGCCATCATCTCCCAATATGTGCAGCCATCCCACAGCCCATTAAATGCAATGTGATTGCCCAACAAAAGGAGGGTCTGCCTACAGCCCTTGCTTTGCTCTGTACTGAATTGCAGCAGCACAAGCAGGAGGGACTCTGGTGTGTACTTGTGTACTACACTCACTGTTCTCACTCTCAACACCTTATTTTGAGCTGGAGAGATGAGGGAGGATGGTGCTAGGAGAGATGAGCAATCTGAGGGTGAATTAAAGACATCAAATGAGGTTCACTTTTTGTTATCTACATAGACTTACCCATAGGGTTTTACTCATCTGCCACTTTATATGTCTTTATACTGAAAGGTTTCCACAACTTTGTGGCTGTCTAGCAAAAATTCTGCAGTAGGTCATGGTGAATTTCTACAGAGGACCTACAGAGGTCATAGTGAATTTCTCAATCATGAACTCCTCAACTTGATTGTTTGGGTTTTTTTCACAAAAACTTCAGCACAAAGCAGATCCATTTGATTACTCCTCACTTTGCACAGCTGTTTTCCAGAAATAATACAGCACTGCCTTCAGATGCAGAAGCAGCACGCTCCATGTTCCCTCCTTCTGCCCACGTGCACACAGACTCACACTCCCTAAGAGCACATGGCTCACCAGAGGCACTTACCAACTGAAGTTGGCATTTCTCCCCACTGCAGAACCACATCCTTGGTTATCCTTCCATATGTGTTGACATAAACTCCTTCATCCTCGTAGCAGACCAGCAGCTCCATCCCATCCGTGTTTGGGAGGATGATGATTGCGTGAGGTTGGATACTACTCTGGATCTACAGAGACAGAAGGGGAAGCGTTTAATGCTGCAGAGCCTGTGCTAGAAGAAAGGGATGGGGGATTCTGGTTTTGGCTGACACATCAGGGATCCACAGAATCATAGGATGGCTTGGATGGAAGGGACCCTAAAGATCATTCACTAAATTCACTCACTTTACAAGTGCTCTATCTGCTGCCCTCAAGCTAGACACCACAGTGACCAAGACCTGTAAACCCTTGGAGCAGAAATCCTCTTAAGGCAGACATCTAAACTGAGGAAAGATTAATTTCTCTGTAGGGGTCCCCATTTCTTTCCATATGCAGAAAGGGAGCCTGGGGCAAGCAGAGCAGATGCAGATCTCAAATCTCTGCACTGCATTGAACAGTGCTTGGGTGGCCCATCTGGTGGCCCATTATACCTGTGTGTATAATGAACAACGGGAAACCTTGGCAGCTAAAGTCACCTGGTCTTTGCCAACCCTTTCTTGGGTTGCAAGAACCCAATCCTTGGGTGTTATGTCATTTGTGCTGCTGGACATTTGCATGGTACTCGGGCATTTAGCTGCCACCCCTGACACAGCCACACTGGTCTCATCAGATCTCAGTGAGCAACTCCAAACCATAGAGACACACTGACTATGAGGTGAGGACTGACTGTGAGACAAACTCCACAGCACATGTGGCCATATCTGCTCAGTCCCCTGCACCCAATATACCACTGCAAACATCTGGCAGTGATCCCCAGGGACAGCCTGACACATTGGTCATTTAGGGAAAGGAAGGGGTTGGATGTGGGGGGTGACCCACCAGAAAGAAAGAGAAAAAGCCAGACACAACAGCAGCTCTTACATGTGTTGGTAGATAAATATCATAGACCGATCCTGAATCCACATCCACAGCATGGAAGCCAGCGCAGGAGCCATAGATCACTTTTAGTCTCTGACCCTCTTCTACAGTGAGATCCACCAGCAATGGCTTATGTACCAATTCTCCAAATGACTGTGAGACAACCATCAGTGAGATTACTTTACTGCTTAGAACAACAATGGGGTTTATAAAAACATGCTCACATGCACACATTGTGGATTTATTCCTCCACATCCCTCTGGCCCCTGGACACCAAACCCATTAGGCTGACACATCTCTCATGGACAGGCTACTCTGCAAACTGCTGCATTTCAATCACCTAAGCTATTTTCTATAGGGTTTACTCAGTCCATTCGATTTTTTATTAAGAATTGTTCTCCCCAAAGTCCAGGGCAATTGGGCACTCCTGTAGTACTTCAATCTACAACCCACAGTAACTGTCTGTAAACCAGCCTGGCAATTATACCAAGCCAGCTGATTTCATTCTAGCAATATTCAAAACCAGTCCCATAGCATTGCTGAATATCACTTCATTGCTTGCTCTGCTCAGACAAAGCAGCTTAGACTCAGTCCACTTCTCTCTGTCCCATATTTTATTAATAGAGAGAGCAAACAAAAACTTGTGATGTTGTGTCATTAGTTTATGCTCAGTTGCAATTTAGAGCTTTAAATGTATTGACTCTTAGAATTAAAAAAAAAACCTCCAAAATTAAAATATAACACTAAGTTTGTGGAGATTTATCAAAGAACTTGGAATATGGCCATGACACAATGTCAGAACATTTTTGTAAAAGGGATAACTGCAGGTGGTTATGAGAAAATCCGATCTATGACTGAAATATACTGTTACCTTAAAGGCCATAAATTTATGGTATGGCTTTGGTGCCCATGCATAGACTTCCACAGAACTCTTCAATGCAATTACCAAGAACTTGATTCTTTCATATTTTACTGAAATTAAAGAAAACAAACAAGAATTCAGCATAATTCCAAAGTCATTCCAGTTACATCAAGAAAGAAGACAAGTTATGTAAGCATGAAGAAATACTGTAATTTTGAGAGTTTAGTAGCATTGCATTTTAGGATTGTACTTCTGTGTAGTACTCTGATACATTTATGCTACAGAAGTCATTACTCTTACTAGCAAGTGACCATCTTATAATCTTCAGAATTAACTAGTCACTACTTATTTCCACTTATGTTTTTCCATAGTGGATAGTGCTTAGTCATCAAGCCAAGAAAAGCTGCTTTCAGGAACACTCCAATAAAAGAGGGCCATCCATGACTGTAGAAGAGTCCATTACTGGCAGTTCCAGTCACGACAGTGCTAGTCTGAGCTGATGGAAAAATTACCCAGAGGAAAGGAGGAAGAAATGAAAATTACAACATCATTAAATTTCAAAAGCAAAAGACAAGCTTAACAGTGGAGCACTTTCCTTTGTCCCTAAATTCTGAGATAACTCATTTGGGAAAAAGAAAACAAAAATCACATAATTTATCAGAAATAAAGTGTCATTATACTAGTGAACCATGCTACTACTTGCTCTTTGAACTCTGCAGGAAAGAAAGACTGAGCTGTAAGTGTTAAGGGACTTGACACTTCTTCAACAGACAAAAAAACGTCTCTCAACCTCCACAGCTGTACTGACTAAAAACAGAGCTTTTGTTCGGTCTTGTCTAGCTTACAAGACTTCCTGGAATTTTTTCACGGGGAAGAGGGGGCTGTTGAACAAAACCACCTCATCTGTGAAAGGGGACATTTGATAATTCTTATTATTTGCTCTGGGTGCTATCTGGGAATTCACCCAAATCTTAAGTTTCAAAAGAGCAATTTCTCATTTAGAGGAGCCAAAAGTTGCCTGAAGCAACTGAGATCCATAAATACCACTTCACCCTGACATCGGAGACCCCTGTTGCATCAAAGAGACAAGGAAGTGATCAGTGCCAGCTGCCTCGGTGACAGCGTCCAGACCGCAAGCCCAGCTACTGGCAGAGCTCTCCTCCTTGGGAACTGAAGCGCAGCTGTCAGAGGCCTCGCACTACCTGAAAAAATCCACTGTATTTCTGTGGTTCAGAGGGAAGTTCAGTGCCAGGCTGTAGCCCAGGCTAACAAACCCCTCTTCATCAGGAAGAGAATGCTCTTTGTTTCAGACGCTTCCCTGCTGGAAAGCCTCCTTTCAATAGCTGCTGATGTATTGTTAACAGGCCACTTCATTATGCTGCTGACACCCTGGGGTCTGATACCAGAGGAGTGCATTATTAATTGTTTTCGGGGTCAGGCTCCTGGCTCAGCAGTCACTTACTGCCATTGTTATTGATTACGCCCCATTAGCAGGTTTTTCCAAGAGCACACGCATGATAGGAGGAGACTGAGAACAGTTTGATTGCTGCTGCTCCACACTGACTGACACAGCTGGAAAGGAACTGAGCTGGCTCCTGGGAGAAAAATCAAATCAGAGGCAACATCCAGTGCCCATTAGGATGCACCGTGAAACTGAAGCAGCAGGAAGAGCTCTTGGTTCATATTCCCACCTGCAGGGCAGCAGGCTCACTGAATATACTCCACTGGCTGTGAATGCCACATGTCCTTTCACCAGCTTTGGTGGAAGTTTCTATACCCAAATCCATTTAAATTACTTAAAACCACTCAAAGGGCACCTGCCTGGTGAAAACACATTTGATTCTGTAACTGTACTGCAGCAGATCTGAGATGGCATTAGGGAATTTCATGAGCTAAGAGGAATCAGTTAATCACCCTGGAGTTACAGACATGCTTCTGTGCCCAGGTTCTTCCCCAAAGCTCATCTGCTACCTGGGCTTTCTTTTTCCTCACACTTTTTTTTCTTTCTCCCAGTCTCTAAAATCTACATTAAAGAGAGACTTTTTCAATCTATTCCAGCACGTAAATTCATCATGGTAAAAAATATGGGAAACTCGCTAGTAAAGGAAACAGTTGCTGGAATCCCTCTATTACCTAAAGAGGGGGTGAAATGTTACCAGCCCTCACTGCCCAGATCAGCACCCCTCTGGAAGCTGCATCCATTACAGGAAGGAGATGGATGGGATTTGCACACTCTCCAGTTCCCAACCCATCATCCCACCACAAAACTCCCTCTCATCTTCGATTTAACCCTGTAACTTGTCATTTTGGTGCTTTGCCAGCAAGTTCACTCTGCAAAACAGATAAAACAGCTAGAAATAGAACCAACCAAACCATAAACCCAATAGCTTCATGTACTGCAGTTCCCTTTCTCAGCCATCCTTTATCCCAACTATTTGGTTACTTACTGCATTTGCTACTCACCAACTTTATAGTGCACACAGCCTTCCAAGTCGCCCACCGTTGTCCAGCCCTGTTTCTTTTCTACCTCAGGATCATTGTGCAGGATTTTATTTCTTAACCACGACAAATAGTAAACTCGCAACTTGTTCTTCTTACCTGAACACAAAATGAAAAAAAAAAGGTTTATCTCCACAGGAAGATACTTGCAAAAAGCCCTACCCAGGCAAACAGAAAGCTCTGCAAAACAAACCAACAATGAAGGAGAAAATGCTGCAACCACAGAAATCTCCCTCAGTTTTTCATCCACAACAGCTTCACTCCAGACTCCACCCAGACATGCCCTTTCCTGTTAATCAATGATAGATACACATGGTAATACCACACAAACATAAATGACAAACTCAAGGGAACAACTCTTCAGCTATCTGGTTCTTAGGACCAAGACAACTTCCACTAGAACAGGGAACTCCCACAACAAAAGCACCAAAGAGTCATGCACTGAGATTTTATATATATATATATATATATATATATATATATATATATATATATATATATATATCTGAGTCAGAATGGCTCTTTAAACTTCATCTGCTTGCTAAAAGCTGATGACTGCTTTGTCAGCAGCCCTCCCCTTGAGCTGCAAGGGTGTAATACTTAGCAGGCTGCACACAGAAACTGAGAGAGGTGTTTCTTCTCCACAGGTGAAAGAAGCTACCTGCACAGGCTGCCCTATCTTCAACTGACACAGCATCTGCCACGTCATCAAAATACAGCTCAGACTTTTAACTCTCAATACAAAAAGGCCTCTTAGAATGCAAACCAAGGTTCATGATAAAGTTTACCACTGATTCTTTAACAATTAATGGCCTACAAAGCATTTACTAAGCTTGTGAGAAGATGGCCCTAAATGCACATACTCAAAGCTTGCATCCTCTTTTTCTCCAGCTGCTTTGCTGCTTGGAACCATTACAGTTTCACAGATTAAGCTGTGGCTGAGGAAGGGAGATCATCCCTGCTTTGACCAGTAGCCATTTAACAAGGCTCCATGAGGTCTCTTGGAAAGGAAGGGCTACAGGAGATGTCCTCAGGGGCCCTACTTGTCAGCAGAGCAGCTCCATGCTCTGCTGCACCAGCCACAATGAGGAGCCATGTGTCTTTCCAGTGTTTCAGCTATTGGAGGTGAGAGGGAGACAGGTGTCCTGTACTGCAGTCACTGCTGGGCTGGCCAAGCAGCACCATACTGGTCTGTGCTGCCAAAAGCCACTACCTATCAAGATGCCACACCTGGCAGCCTGCCAGCCAGATCCAGCTATAGAGTTCAGCTAAATGTCTTTAATTTGTCATTTACATTTTCACAGGACACAGACAGATTAGTTCCCAGGTGGCTGCTCAGGGGATACTGGCTGCAGCAGGACAAGAGGCCTGAGCACTGAGACCATCCTGCTGTGCACAGCCAGCTCCACACTGCGGGGCTGGAGCTGGCACAGATCCCCTACCCTGACAGTAAGGGATCCCCTAACAGAGCCAGGCTTGTCAGGAAAAGCATCTGCAGGAGCTGGGGCAGCAATGTGGGGAAGCACAGCTTGCAAACAGGATTCTCCATGGACTCCAGCACCATAAGCCATTGCATTAAAAAGACACACGGCCTAAAAGATATTTTTATGATTACTTGGATGGGAAAGGACAGGAGGAAAAGAGGAGGCAATTTCAAAGTAAAAAATCTGTTCACTAAGCTTAAAGTGGAATTGGAGAGGTAATTGTAAATACTGGATCTGATACTCAATTTTAAAAGCCCTTCTGTTCTGATGCCATGCAATGAGAAATGTGAAGTAACACTGCACTATCTTTTGTTTATCTCCATTACAAATGGGAGTATAGATTTGGCAGTAAATGAGTACCCTGATTTACCTCCAGACTTAATATTTAGAAAGCTATGTTTCAGAAAGGGGTAAAGCCCTACCACTCCTGTAGCTTTCTCAAGATCTGGAGGACTAGTGCAGGAAACAGTATTTCCAAAAGTCCCACATGTAACCAAGAAAAGGTCCTTCCACGAAAACACTGCAAATGATAGCCACAAGGGCTCTTTTAAGAACGCTGAAAAATAGGAAACATAGTTCAGATCAGAAGCCACTGCAGTTCTGGGCAAGAAAGAGCTCAGAGGGCTCAGGGTTTCTACAATGTACCAAATGCTTTCAAAACCATGCTGAGTCCCTACCCACAAGGAGACAAATTCTGCCTCAGATATTTCCATGGTTGTAGGTTCCCCAGTAGCTTAGTCAAACTTTAAGACTCAGAACAAACAGTGCACATGGGAATTTCCCAGCATGCGGCTACTTTTTCCTTTTAATTCACATGATATGCACCAGGGTATTTCTCTCCAACCAGAAACATTTTTCAAAACAACTGAGAAATATCTCAAATGTGTTCCCATTGTGTTCTGGTGTCTAGACCACAAGGAAAAGTCACAAGACAGGAAATTCCTCTGCCTTTCTGCAGCCTGACATGAAAAGAGCAGAACCGGTTAGTTATATAAACATGGCTATGCATTTATTTCAACAAGTTATGCTGCTCTTAATGCTCACATTTGGAATGGGGGAGATTAGATCCTTCTCTTTTTAAAGCTCTACCAGTCAGTTAAAACAGCCCTCAAAATTCTGGTATTTTTTATTTTTTGCATGGATCTAATCTCTATGATCATGAAATAAGAAAGAAAGCTCTGCTCCAGCCATCAAATGAGCTAATCAGACAGCGAATTCTGTGAGAACACCCAGCTTGGATTCTCCCACAGACATAGTTTCAAATGCAAGGTCCTTTTTCCTATACCGAGTTTTTTGTTTTTATTGTCACTGTGGTTTTTAATTATTAAGCAGGCGGATTCCAACCAGTTCTTCCACTCTGTCATCTCTTCCTACCTTCCTGGTGCCACCATCAGCCAGCTGGGCTGGCAAAACCCTCAGGGAGCCACAACTGGAGCGTGTTCTGCATGCACGTTGCTGCTCTCTCCTCCAGCATTTTATGACTCTGCACTGTACCACCTGAGCAGATGAAATTGGTTTTTGCCTCTCAACAGCATGAACTGAAGCACCAATCAACTACTCCTGCTTTACCTGCAAGGCTCTCTTGTACTATTTCTAGCAGGCTCAGTATCTCAGTATCAAAAGCTTTGTTGTCAGAAAGTTCTGTATTTCAAACATAAATTGGGCCAAGAACTGATTTCATGTTTTCAGACTCTATTGTCTATTCAAAGCAAGTTTAGGTGACAATCCTCTCAAAATCCTAACACACTGCAACTTCTTCACACAACATGGTGACACCTTTCAAACCCTACCACCATCAGCACATCACTTCCCAAAAAACTCAGGGGAACAAACGGCTGAGTGCACCACAGTGAGCTGAACAATGCTTCCAGCGAGGCTGTAGCAGTGCTGGGACAAAGCTCAGAGACAGTTCCACCACTAATCTGCCAAAACACACCATTTGCAGAAACATACCCTCAACTCCAGCATTCCAATTTTGCCTGGAGAGGTGAAGCAACGCATCATAAATAAAAAGATACTTAGGGAAGTCCAGCATGAGGGTAAAGAACTGAGATGTGCAGCACAGAAGACAAAAGCAGGATATAAGGGGAAGTTTGGGCGTAACAGCATTATATTTTCACTGAATATGCTCCCCCAGCCCTGCCTTTCACTGGGCAAGAATGCCTCTTCTGCCTCATACTCCAGTAACCTCCCATAAAACATAGGAGATGGCACAGACACAAAGGCAAGAACAACCAAGGATCAGCTGATTTCTTAAGGGTTAATGTAGCGTGTCTCCACAGAGGAAGCAATAGTTTTGAAGGAAACAAAGAAAACGGATGTGTCAGGGTACTCCAATTGTGACTGATGCAAAAATAAATAAACTTAAAACAATTATACACAAGACTGAATCACAGACACTTGTGATTTGTGTAGGATATGTTTCAAACCAACTGATTTTACACAAGTTGGATTATACAATATTTTTGTTGACAAGGTCTGCTATAAAATAAACTCTATCAAATAGTGCCTTTCAAACAGCTTATATTTTAACATACTGCATTAGACATCAAAAGGACACACAGCAGGTTGTGTATTTTTAAACGCTGCTTGATTCATCTTTTTCTTTTTATAGATTTCACAGCATAGCTGTATCTGAGCATGTAGCAAGTGACAAGCCAATAAAATTCAGTTGTTCCAGACAGAAACAAATCCCGTGTTGATGACAGCAGCATGGGCATGGCTCTTTGGATCTGTGGTAACACATCACCAATGCACTAAATTCCACTAAATGTCTAAAGTGTGTCCTTTTGAACAAGTGTTGGGAGAGCCAGAGAGCTCCTCCAGCACACTTAGAGAAGTTCCAGAGCCTCAAAAAAATTTAGGTGGATTTGAAAAACAACAGCGAATCCTGTGAGAAACCTCACGTAACATCCTCTCCCTGTCACACACACAAAACAGAGCAAAGGCTGATTTCCCAAACCAAACAAAACAAAAGGTAACTGGCTGAACAGCACCTGTGAAGAAAGACCAACAATGCACCACATCAGATTGTTCAACAGCAGGTTAAACTTATGCCATAATTTATACCATAACTTTCTGGAGCCAAAGAGTCTGGAACCTCAAGCTTCATAAAACACATTTTTTATCAGCACACACAAAACAAACACAAGCATCACCACCACCCTTCATCTCCCACTGCTTTGCCATTTCCAAGTTGCACCCAGTGAGAGACCAGGCACCAATCTGCCTTCTCACTCTGGTTATTTCCACACCATGTACACACTGTACTACTCACTCTCACACTTTTACTGCACATCACTCTTACTTCCCTATTTTGCAAGAGCTTTCCCCATTCTACAGATATTAACACACAAGAAAAACGTTCTTAAACCCAAGGAGCACTTAGTGTTTTAGTTAGAAAGAGGCCAGGTAGGAAGTAATCATGACAGAGGGAAAGAATGCTATTTTCCCAAACTTCACAGACATTAACTTCCAGCTCTCAAATACTGAACAAGGAAACAGAGTCAGACATTTCCCACAAACTCATGCAGCATTTTTAAAGGTCACTCCACAGAAGGAAGGACAGGGAGCAAGCAGGCATGGGTGTTGTGTGGAAAACTTGCAGAAATAAACTGAAGACTCAGAGATGAAATGATGGGAAACCCACTGACTTCAGTCAGGACTTCCCCCTCACAGCACAGGCTGCCAAGAAAATCTTTCTGCCATACCATGCCACATGGAGGTAAAATATGACATTCAACAGTCAACCTTACCAGAAATTGTCACCAAGACATTCAGCCCTTCAAGTACATCCATTTGCTGGAATCGTCTTCGATTGATGAGTGGATAAACCTTCCCCTGCCCGCTTCTGTCTAGCAGCATCAGACCACTTTCAGTGCCCACCAACAAGTTCACTCCTAGAAAAAACAAAACCAGAGATCCAAGTTAGTAAGCACTTTTTCTCACATATTCTGAGGAAATGATGACTGACAGAGCAACTGTCTTGTTTCAATCAGGTCTAACCACAGCTGCTTGGGTCTCCATTGCCTGTAGCCTAAAAGATCTCCTGCTGCAGAGGCTCTCTACACTACCTGCCCACAGTGACTACTGACACCAAACAGTGTTCAAGAGACTGGTAGACCACAGAGAGCTTTCTAGAGCACCAGTTCCCAAAAAATAAGGCATACTAATGTGGAAGGACAGATAAGGCACAAAGAGGTATGCAAGCCTATGCATTCCAAGGATGTGTTAGCTGTTGTTAGGGGGGTGGTAGCAGGATGCTCTTGACAAGGACATGGCAATAAAAACAGTTCCCACTGAGAGAAACAGGTTGTGTTGCAGCCCTTCCACAAAAGGGTAAGCACTGGGTTTGTTCCCAGCTTCACAACAATCTTTTCCATCTGAATGTTAAAACTAGAGGAACTACAGTAATCTTGTGTTTCCAAAGGCTTCTCCTAAAGATCAAGGAAATACAGATGAGAAAAGTCAGTAGGCCAGTTTCTTTACACTAAGTTTCAAAGGTCCACTGGAACACTCCAAGAGTCCATAAAACCTTACTATTTAGAATCAATTACATTTTTTTGATATAGTAGATATATATGGAACTAAGTTTTAAATATCTATTAATATATTATCACTCTTAAATTTAATAACTATTTCTTTGCAATAGTATTTAAGTCCAGAAGTTCACAAATTTTGCAGAGACAGTTCAAGTACAGTACAAGAAATGGAAATCACATCAATGTATGACTCACTTGATTAGACTTCCATGTTGCAATCCCAATACAAAATTTGCCATGCTTTAGCACAATAAAATAATGAAGTAAGAAAAGCAAAACTCACACAAGATGGTCATAGTTACACTGCTGAATGGTCTTAATCCCTAGTCAGACAATTAACCCCCACATACAACTACACTGGGGCCAATAGGCTCTTTTCTGATAGAGCAGGTGGGCCCAGGGCCAGGGGTGTGTGTGTGTGTGTATATATCAGTGCACCTACAGCAGTGATGTGCCTTCTCAGAGTGCTGAAAAAGGGCATATTGCTCACCTAAACACTCCCTGGATACCAGGCATGGGAGAGGCTTGCAAAAAGGAGGGCACATTAAGCCTGACCCAGGGGGCACAAGGTGTCTCTGAAAGGGGAGAGGGTGTTAGGGGGAAGCAGTAGCAGTAGGGAGGGGGCTGAGCTGCTGGTGCTGGCTCTTAAAAGCCTCTGGGTGGATGAGAAAAACAGATGTAGCCCATAGTGAGTTCAGAAATCATCATGCATCTCTCCATTATCCTCTCCCTACCCTTTTCAGTAAGAAAGCTTCAGAGGTCCCAGCAGTCCCAAGGCATCTTTGCTTAGATTTGCTGCTCTAATACTTCTCCTGGGAGGTCTGTCACCCTCCAGGCTCTCCTTCAGCTGCTGACACTTCCTTCATCCCTGTGCTGCCCACCTCTCACCTCTGCATCTTGCAACTGGTTTGTACCCACTGGATCCCACCCCACAGCCCCCATAGGCAATGGCCACTTCACCCAAGAGCATTTCACACTGCCTGTCCCTCTTACTGGGACAATATTCAGATTGGGAAGAGGCAGAAGGAAGCAGGGAGAGTGAGCCACACACAAGTCATGCTTAGCACAGGCTGAAGCAGCACCAAGCCAGCCAAGGAAGTGCCCAGCAGCTTGTCTCCTTCCTACAGCTCCAGTACCCACTCAACAAAGCTGTAAGTTTCAAGATGTATTTCTGCACCTTTTCCAGGGTGGGCACAAATCAAAGCAAGCCACATGCAAACTGCTCCCTCAGGGTCCCTTCCCCTCCTTGTTCTCCATCAGGACTCCATTGCTCCTGCCTCCACCCTCACCTCTCCTGCCTCTGCCTTTCTGGTGCAGCTGTTCCTGCTTTGAGCTCTCATGCACACCTGTGCCCAACCCCTTCCCTCAGCTATGTGCACTTTAGATGAAACTAATGAGGTATTACACTGGTGGCAAGCAGGGCTTATATTTTACACTGCAGACACCCTCCTCACTCACAGACAGCAGAGCTCTTCTACTGCCACCCTACAATTAAGCAGCTCTGTTTTTTTCAAACAAATGGAAATGCTTCCTGAAAAAGTACAGGCTGTCTGTGGAGGCTGGGTGTAAGAATCTGTGTTACTGCATCCATCCATAATTAACATTGGCTTTCACCACTCAGAGCCAGAAGAAACCGCATCAGAGACCTAATGCAATTAACAGCTTGCCAGATACTACTGGCATTACCACTGGTAAAGGCAAAGCAAAGCAAGGCCCTCTCTTTTTGAATAGAAAGCATCACCATGAAATGGTTTAATTTTCTTAAGGGTGAAGGAAGTTAAACATTATCAAGAAGTAAGCATGTGTACCAACTTGTATCACCATCAGTTTGGCCCTAAATGTTCAGTGAAGGGCTGTGTTACAGCTGTAAAACACCTCTAGGATTTTACACCTATTCTTTAAACCACCCTAACAGACAGATATATAGATCAAAGAAATATGAAACCATTAACACAAATTGCTACTGGCAAAACAAGGCAGATCAGAGAAATTATGAGTCATCTTTACTGACACCATATGATTTCTCTCTGCCTTTGGCCTCTCACAGCCTGAAAGTTTACATTTGCACAAGTCTTAACTTTATCAGAGAATGTTACACAGGAATTCAAGCAGAAATAGTGCTGAGGCAAAAAATCTTATCTGTAAATTCTGGAAATAAAGAAAATAGCATATAGGAAGACAAGGTGTTGGGAGAGCTATTTCATTGACACAGCTATGCAGGAAAGAAGACTGGGACTGGCTGTTCTGAGAAGCAGGAAATGCTGGACATAACCCCAAAAGAGAACTAAAGCCTTGGAAAGAGCTATAAAAATGTAAAAAAGAGAGGGGACTGTGTTACCTTTACAATAATCATATACTGTAGGGCAATGGCCAATTCTCTTCTTCTTAAGTTTTTTAAAGACCTGCATGTGCATTTATAATCTGCCAAGTTTAGGGATACTAGATAACTATGTATGTAACATACACGAGCATCAACTATTAACATTTAGATAATGAAAAAACTAATTCACAGATTCTGTGAAATTCCAGGAAACAAACACCACAGAAAAGCCTTCGCTAGGGGTTGCAGCAGAGATTCTACACTGCAGCAGGCAACAGGCAGTGCTCAAAGCCTGATGAAGTGTGGGATCCTGACTGTCTGACACCAACACAAATTATCCCTAGTGACAAGAAGACCAGACAGACTTGGTCAGCTGACATCTCATACCCAGCTTCTCTCTGCAGTAATCACTCTAAACAAAGCTAAGTCTCAGAATGGGAATTGTTCCTCTATCCTTTTCTCTTCTATCTTACTTCTTACATAAACTGATGACTGAGGCGACAAGTCATCTTACACAACACACCTTAATCAAGCCCTGCAATGATACATTACCAAGAACCTGAAGAAGATGATAATTTTTTCAAAATACCCTGTGTGCACCAGGTGTACAGTGCAAGGACTACTACAAGCTCCCAAAAGCTGCAAGAGATGCACCAGCAGGGTTTGGAAAGGGCTGAAAAGAACGTCCTGATGAACTGTATGAAGCCCTTCCCAGACAACCTGTGACAGGAAAAGAGGACACAGCCTCAAGCTATGACAGGGCAAGCTCAGGTTGGATACCAGGAAGAACTTTTTCACTGAAAGTATGGTTAAGCATTGGATCAGGCTGCCCACAGAGGTGATAAGAGCTATCATCCTGCAAGAGTTCAAGATATGACTGGATGGGGCACATAGTGCCATGGTCTAGCTGATCCAGTGGTGTTAAGTCAAAGGCTGGACTTGATGATCCCAGAGGTCTTTTCCAACCTTAATGATTCTGTGATTCTCAGTCTAAACTGTGCCATCAGCAGCATATATGTACCAGTGGGAAATCATAACAAAGCAGAAGCAACATACTGTAAAAAACACAATAATAATCAGGTCTTGCAACAAAAAAGATGTAAACAAGCACTGAATAAATGCAGAGAAACAGCTACAGTTTTGGAGATGCATTATCAAAGGCTGAAAGCTCCTGCTGGCACATTACATTTCAGGAATGGCAAGGCAAGAACAGGTTTGCATTACCCCATAAGGCCGCACACAGGATCTCGGAATTGAATCTCTTCTTGTATTTGCGAATCTCTGGGGTGTCGCTCTGTGGCCGTGTGTTTGTGGGGTTCACATTGACAACTGATCCTTTCCGGGTAGGGTCTTGCCTTATTGCCTCTGATCTCATTGCTTCACTAGAAAATCCTACTGAAAGAAAAAAAAGTAACGTGCATGTAATACCTTCAAGTGCTGGATTCTGGACATAGATTTTTTATATTATACAAACCAAATCAGTAACTGAGAACAATGAGAGAGTCCTAATTTTTGTAAGAAATGTAAATGGAAAAAGAAAATAAATTATGCAATCCATTGCAAAACAAATAAAAAGCATGATGGTAACATTCTTAAGTACTTTAAAGAGCCACTGAAGTCACTGAACCCTTTTTTAATTGTTGTCTTCAGCTACTTTACTTACCCACAGAAGTCACAGTTGTCCCACTAGATGGAGAAATCTGTAGTAATCTGGGGTCTATAAAAGGTGTAAAGGAGGAGGAAGATTTGTGTTTCTGGAGTGTGTTACTAGCGGACTGAGTCTGCAATGTAAATTTCAACTTTATTAATATTAATGACAATAAAAAGCATGGATAACAAACACCAACATTTTAAAGGCACTATGGAATTATGCTACAGAGCCTCCCCAAGCTTTTATACTTCCTTTATAGATACACAAAGCACTGCAGGCACCACACCTGAGCTAGATACATATGCACACTGCACATGTTACAGCAAAATGCAATTAGCTGAATTGTCATCCCTGAACCTCAGCTGCTAGCAAAGCTTTTTAGTACAGACCACTACAATCAGGCACAAAGCAAGGGAATGTCTCTCCTTTTGACAATCTACTTAAATGTATGTATACTGTTTTATCTGCAAGCTGCCCACTACCTACAATTTTTGAATTTATGAAGCATCTCTGAATTGAGGTAGTTAATTAAATTATGAAGTTTGATCTCTTGGCTTGTGCAACAAAATCAGAACCATCTGGGATCAAGCATTCACTTCTATGATGGACTATGTTTCAGTGTTCACTACTGTTCATTCTCCCTATTTTGTTTAACCTGAGCCTCTTGCCAGAAAGCTGCAGCAGATTCTTCCACCTTTATTTGACAAAGCAACATATTAAACCTGTATCGAACAAAGGGGCTCATTAGTGTGGAAGGTGTAGCAAACAGTGACATGACACTATGAATATGTAGTGGATAAAATCACTGGTGCTTGTTGAGTTATGAAGTCTAAACATGAAAAAACATAAAGAAAGAAAGAAGACAAGTGAAGCAATGAACTGTTAAAAGTGGAAATGGAACAACTTAAAACCCCTTGCCAGTTTAGTATTATAGTGACAACATATCATACTGAAGCAGAATGGGACAAGTGGAAAAAAAAAGTGTGTATATATAAAGAATGTGCATGTGGTAAGTTATACTGAGCAGTACTGGGTTTTTTGCTCAGTTTTATGCAAATATTGTTACAAGACACTTGTTTAGCATCAACTAATCTTCAACCTCTAATCTTCCTAAGCCTCTACAGAAAGAAATAGCAATGGGTCTTTGGAATTTATCCCTGCCCTGAACAGCCCAACACCAAAAGGCTCCTTCATCACCAGGCACTGCCACAGCCCCCACTTCCCAAGCTGAGTTAACTGAACCCTGCTTATGTATCGCTTAGACCAAAGTAATGAGCAAGCACATCTCTGGATCAATCAACTGATCTCCATAACCTACAAGAGTGCGCTTTTAGAAAGATCAAAGAACAATGAAGCACAGCTGGAAACGATGTATAAAGCTAAATTAATTTCCAGGAGGAAACTCTCCCTCCCACCCACCTGCTATGTGGTTAAGAAGCATTTTTGATTATGTAGTAAGCATGTGCATTGCCATAAACCTACCCAGCTCACTGCAACCTCTCCTCATCACAACACTTGCACACCTCCATGGCAGGACTCTACCCTGAGAAGCAGCAGGTTCTTTTCACCAACTTTTGCTTGCCCTGTACCACTCCCTGCTTCAGAGGCTCTCCTTGTAAGCCAGGCTGGCTGCCCAGCCAGGAGTGGAGCCACCAGACAAGGCTCCCTGCTCACTGCTGGGGCTGGTAAGGGGCAAACGGCCCTTTGTTCATTTGTACATGGATTAACTCCTCTGCTGCAAGGGGCTAACGCATGTGAAGGACCAGGCTTTCCCACCTGCACTCAGTAAAGGAAGGCACCATCCTGGGATCAGCCCAGGACAGCAAGAGGGAGCTTCCCCCATGGTAAAGCCTTCTCCACCTGGATATAATCAGTGCTGGTGGATAACAGTCATCTTTACACAGCTGCTTCTCAGAGTACACACATACTTGGAAAAAAACCCAAAGATTTTCGCCCATTCATTATTCCAAAATAACAATACCTCAGGCTTTTACAACCCTCCCAGACAACACCTGATTTGTTCACCCAGCCCACATGGCAAGCTTTAGTGAGCAAAATCCCTCCACAGCCACTTCCTCTCCCATTGGGTGAGTTTCAACAAGCAGCTCCTCATATGTGTGGAGAAACTAGTCCAGCCTTTACTGACAAAGCCAAAATTAACTGCTAATTCTGAAGAGGCACATTGCTTGCAATTAGCCTGCTCCCGGAATAAAACAGAATTAAAAAGAGTATTGGCTTGAAAATGCAGTAGTCAAGTTTAGTTTAAAATGAACGCCATGCAATTAATGACTCACTAAAAGGAAGCAAAAATAGTAAACTGGCAAGTTTGGCGTGGGACTGCTCTAGAGTTAAGGGCTTCTTACACAGAACTGAAATGTGTTATTTGGGAGGTGGGAACAAAGGTGACAGAAAAAAAAAGCAGGGGAGATTGGCTGGAGTTCCTTTGCAAACTAGCTACTAGGCAATGCTGCTATAACCCTATGAAAGCAGCCAGCTGTGGTGTAAGACATACCTCATTAGTAGTTAGCTTGTCCTGGGGTGTCTGTGGGGACATGGTGGGTGTCGGCTGGCTGGAGGATGGGGAGGAGGAGGTGGAGGAAGTGGAGGAGGAATGGCTTTGCTGTAAGAGATCTGGCAAGAGGTGAATGCGACCGGCAAAGCCATTGCTCTCATGATGGCTGGCACGCTTTTTGTCAACTGTACTCTGTAGAAAAAACAGGCACACTTGTCTTGCTCAAGTGCTGCTTAAAAGTCTATATCCCTAACAACCTCTCTCCTTCTCTCCCTCACTTCCTACCTTTTCACTTTTTTTTTAAATTTTTTATTTTTTAAAAAAGCTTATAATCTGTGCTTTGATGCCTGCATGGAAAGGGAAAGTGGGCAGAGCTACTAGAATTCATGAAATTCCCACCAGCAGGCAAATGCTTGGTTCATGTGGTTGACTTGCACAGCCAGTTCCACAAATTAAGAGAACAGCAACTGCGCTGCTAAGTCCAACACCACAACAGGGACAAGCACATTTTTGGGGGTGGGGCGAGGATTTTTTTCCCTATTGTTTAGTTTAAAACTAACTTAGACCCTATACAGATAGCAGTTTGGACTTTCTGGAGAATCCTTTCAGCTAACTATTTAAAACAATAACCATGAAATCTTAATTTTCAAATAAGAGGACTCAATTAAGAAATTGGCATTCAGTTGTGAAACTCAGAAATGCGATTACTGAGGAAACTCCTATAAGCTAGCACGCTCATTAACACACAAGCTCATTTAAAAACAGGGAACCATTATGTTTCAGAGGCACAAGAACACAATAATTTCAGAATCAAAGGCAACAACACAGCACTCTACTCTGTCCACATTCTCTGCCTCACCACCTATTTTGCTTCTCCCCACACCAACTGTTGTGTGAATTTGCATGTACATGTGTGTGTATGTTATCTAGGTGGTCTGTATGCCCTAAACTACAGGTTCAAAACAATTTTAAAAAACCTTGAGTGCTCCCACCCCAGCTCCCTCCCAGCCTCACTCCTGAGATACAGATTTGGTTCTGTGCTAAAACTAAGCTTTTGCTCCAGGTACTTGCTCCACACATCTGCAGCTTTTCTACCCTTCTCTCCCACTTTGAGATATTCTGCATGGTGCTGCCATGAGTGTCACTGGAAAGCATGCAAAACAGAAGCAAGGGTGAAGAGCTACACTCCTCTTTGCATGCATCAAACATCTTGCTGATCTGAAATTCTCTACAGCTGAGTCTTGATAATACGAACAACAAATATAATGTAGAAACAGCATGGGTGAATGAGCGAGTGGGTTAATGAGCACAGAAAGGGTGCAGCACTGCACAGGGAAGGAAAAGCAATACCTGTCGAACAATTAAGGTGCCCTCCTTAGAAGGAGTCAAGGCAGGTTCACTCTCCACATCATCATGGACAATCATGGTTTTTACTGACTCTGTTTCACCATTGCTCAAGTTCAACGTTGACCTATTTGTTAGACAAGAAATAACTGGAGTGAGATAACAGCACTAGTGCCCTGGCTGTCACTGCCCTGCTTCAAAGCATACTCAGAATTAATTTGTATTACAGCCAGAGTGGAATATTTACATAAGCTGCCTAAAAAAGCCTCTCTATGAAAAAAAAAGGCAAGATATTGTTAAACAGTTTCTTGTTTTGGAACAAATGATGGGAGAAGAGGGAAAGGACATTGAGAAGACTATCCTTAGTGTTTGAATATATGAACATATGAGGCTGCTATGTCTTGCTCATGGATTGTAGCAATCTGAAAGAACTAGCATACAAGCCAAAATGCTAACGTCCTTTTCCTTCAATCCCCCATAAGGCAAAACAGATGCAAAACACCATTAGAGGGACTGACACTGCTCGGACATCATCAGGTCCAGAAGTAGATTCATCTGCTCCTTCTTGTTCCATATCATCATCTTCCTCATCTGTTGTCCCTGACTCCTCACTCGAGGATGAGTAATCCGTTACTTTATGTGGAGGTCGCACATCCTCTACGGCTCGCAGCTCCTTCGCCAGTGCAGTTAAATCCTGTTGGGAGAGGGAAGAAAAAAAATGTTAAAACTGATGTTGCAAGTAAGAGAGAAGAAGAGTTTGCAAGACAAACCCACAGGATTAGTGTCCAAGTTTGTTCACCTCCGTGTTTCCACTGCCCCAGCAGTACTGTTTCCTTTGACTTACTCATTCCTAACAGTTACCAAAACTCACTTTCTCATAAATTCATACACCAGAAAAGCCAACCTAAAGGGGTCTTGCCATATCATAGAAAAATGTGCATACTCTTGAAACCCAACCATCCTGATTTATGACTAACTGCAGTATCATAAGAGATATGGCTACTGAGGAAAGTTTCAAGGAAAGATAGAAATACTGTGAAAAACCAATGAGTTTCCCAAGATACAACTGGACACAGAGCTGTAATCAATTGTAATAGCAGCCAGATGTAGAAAATGTCAGAAATCTTTCACAGAAAGTAGGAAACATTTAAGGTCTTACCACTTCTCCCTGCACCATTCAGCCCAGCATTGGCACATTCAGGTCAAATGCAGGATCATTGGTCCAGCCCCAGGAAGGAAGCACAAGATTGAAAGAGAGAAAGGCATGGATTAGGAAGGAAGAAGTCCGGAGAGCAGAAATCAATCCCAGAAGCAGTGCAAAATCTAATGTTTGCAGTACTGATGTGCACAGGCAATTGCACAGCCCAGAACATGCTGCTAGACCCAGCTGATCAACATCAACTCCAGCTGATGTTCACCCCGATGGCACTGAACGAAGCTCTCAGTGTACTTTTTGTCAATCTACCTGAAAGAGAAGGAGGACAGGGGAGGATGATGCAACTTACAGCAGGCTTGATAGGTCTGAAGACTTCCTTTTTCTCTTCAGGCTTTTTAGGTGCACTTTCGTGGCGCTGTGATGGCGAACCCTCTGATTTGGATGATGCTGCACGTGCCAAGACCCCAAAAGGAACACAGAACAAAGCAGATTAAGCAGGGAGCTAAAGTATGTTTTCTTACTTCACTCTGGAGTGAGGAAGACATGGGAGGTGACTATTAGGGGTGTCTGACCACAAGACCTAAGTTTCACTGGTTCACTACTACATTGTCCCTGAAGGACTATACAAAAAAACACCATAAGCTGTGATTTGCATAGGTGCAACTGACCTATGTCTGAAGCCAAAGTAAACGGTCACAACAATTGTAAATTAAAGAGCCAAGTGTGGCCACAAGCTGGAAAACCTCCATCATCATCCAAAGTAGTCCAGCTGAGACCTATCCATGGCAGTCTGCATGCTGTCAACAACCACCAACAAGTATCAAAATGTGCCCTTGCACACATGAGGAAGGGAGGGAGCTGTGAGGGCATGGAGACTGGGCTGTTTGCACATAGGAAAGAGCAGCAGTGCCTGGATGTGAATTCAAGAACAATGAAACAAACAGTTTGACAACGATTTCTGTGCCTGCTGCCTTTCCCAAGCAAGGATATATGGCCAAGAGGGTACAGAAAGCCAACCCAACTCTGACACCGCATGTTCAAAGGTAGTTTCCTGTGAGGGTTATCATCTTTAATTACTGAGTGCTTCACAGCTTCATAAAATTAGAAACACAGTAATACAGAGGGTAGGAGAAGGACTTACATCTCATCCTGAACCGCTCTCCAGACCCGCTCTGAGAGCCAGGGTGGGAGCCAGGTTGTGAGCCAGAGTTGCTTGAGCCAGAAGAACTGCCACTGCCTGGCCTTGGTACAAGCTTCTCCACCCTTTCCCACAGCAGACGAGGCTCTATATTGCTGTATCAAGGGAGGAAAGAAACTCTTTGTCACACACACTTCAGTCCCAGATTCCCTGCTCTAAAGTGAAGCATCACTCTCTCTCAGTGTTTTGCTAATAACTCAACTGAAAGAACACTCTAATGATCAGGGCATCAGTAATGCTTCACAACCCAGGCAGTAGCTCCCTTTGAAATAACTATTACCGTATTTATGATGGTCAAAAAAACGTTTTGGTGGGTATAAGCTACTCCTTTTATTTGGAGTTATCTACCTGCCTTTCTTATGTATATAACCTGAAGTGGACAATTCTCTCAGCCTGCATGCAGCAGGTTTAAAATTGCATCAGAAGTGTCCTAGGTACTAAACACAAACCAAAAAGAGCACCAGAATATCCTCACCCCTATCCAGTGAGCTAATTCCATGGTGGGCTGCCCATGTTGCTCTGTTGAGCTCCAGAGTCAGCTCCCTCCTCCCCCTTCCTGACCTTGGGTGCTCTGTGTAACAGCCCAGGGAGGCTTTTTCCCCCTCTTAAAATCTGGTTCTGGCTAAGAGGCCAGAAAATTTCTGAGCTCTCTTCACTTTAGATGTTACAAGCCCTCCTGCTGCCAGTAATCCCCACGGTATTCCCAAGCTGACGTGTTGCACCAAAAGGCAAGATATTCATAAACAACCACATTTGTTCCAAAATTTGAAAGATATTTGAAATTATTTCAAAAATTACAGGGTAGGCAACTCAAATGAGAAGAGGAAAGAAGAAATTTTGTCAGCATTTGTTGACACATGTGCCACATCAAGAGAAATCAATCATTACTGAAAAGGGATCCAACACCATCTTCTTTTCACATCCTACAAGCATTGCCAAAAGCTGTCTGGAAATGCCTGGCTTTCCATATGCCTTTTCCTTCCAATTCAAGAAAAGCAAGGACACATAGGCTTACAAACCTCGTGGAATTCCTTTGACCTGCTTGGTTATTTTGCTGGCCAGTGCCCTGCAGTGGGGAATCACGGCGGGACAGGACTGGTGATCGGGACGTTGTTCTCACAGGTACCTTGGGAGAAAAAAGGTTCTGTTAAACCCATGAAGAGGACAGACAGACAGGAAGATAAAACTTCTCCTGCCACAAAATATATTCTTAAGATCTTAACAACATGTTCTAAGTACAAGCTAGCATCAATGACCAAAAGCAGTGAACAAACACCCACAAAGCCAAAAGCCTTAGCTGTGATGCTGTTCAGAATTTGAATAGAACTCGATGTTTAGTCTTAACATTAAATAGTGTTTAATGGTTATCACACGAACACGTACACGCCCCGCTACCCTCCCAACTACTGAGACATCTGAAAAGAATATGGCATTTTGACTGAAGCAGGGGAGGCACAAAGCAATTTGCTGAAACAGCATGAGGATTAGGAGAATAAGCTCAAGGGAACCGAACAAATGCCCGGGAATGGATCAGCAGAAGGCAAAGACTGGTGGGGGGGAGCAAGAATATACTCAGAAGAAGCAAATCCCAGTGGATGGGAAGGGGGATGGAAGGGGGAGAGGAGGAGGAAATATATTGAATGTTTCCTTTTTGTTCAGATCCATCTTAATTTTAAATAAGTGTATGATTCATAGTTTGGGTTACAAACCGATGAAGAGGAATATTAACTCTGAGCAATAACCTCAGGGATATTTTGAATTCTTTCCTGAATATGGTAATTATTTGTTAACTTTGCATAATAAATTGTTTCTCTGAAATAGCTGCATTCTATAAATAATTACCAATTTTATATGAAGCTTCAATATTGTACTTCAGGTTGATTATCATTACCCATTGGCTGAATACCTACATTAAGAACTGCCTTCCAAAATACTGTTACCAGTGCTGGCACAAGGGCACGGTCTTCCCAGTGCCCAGGGCATCACATCCTTAAGAAAACTGTAATTAATAATAAAAAAATAGCACACATCTGTCTTTCTACTCCTTACCCTTGGAGGCACCTCGTCACTGTCTGATCTAGCCCAAGCCTTTTGGGTGGGGTCGGGTACCTCCGACTTAGAGTCAGAACTCTGATTAAGCACTTCACTGCGTGAAGGTGGATATGGGTCCTGGGAACGAAGATGGTGATGAGCAAATTTGGGAGAAGGGTCACTGAAGGAATGGGATCGCGAGACAGGGGAAACATTGTTCTTGAGAGATGCCAGATGGGACCACTGTACCTTACAAGAAAACAAAACATAAAACATTCAATGCGCTCAGTATAACCGGCTTTCCAATTAACACAGAATAAAGGCAGGTGGGGCAGGCAGAGACAAATTGGTTATGGCATTAGGTAAGCGTGGGGTGGAATCGATGCACTTAAAAGCAAGGCAAGCGCCCAAGGAACGTAACAGACTGAAAATACAGCACATATGCAATTTCTGTGTGATGCGCTCTCCACACACACGTACACTGGTGCCCAGAGGGAAAGGGGATCCAATATCTGCACCATGAGCCTGACTTCAAAGGCCACTCAAGACAGAAGTCACCTTCTGTTCCCTGGTCTTCAGTGGGCTTTGGCCAGGTCTCATGGTGGGCTGGGAAATTTGAAGTGGACATCCAATTGGAGCAATGTACAAAATTAAAGAATGCTGTAAATTGGGTAAACCAACAGACATTTACTTTTTCTAACAAATTCAGGGACTGGATATAGCTTGAAACTTTTGGAGAAAGACCATAACACAAAGCCTTTATTCCTTTACAGTTATTGCAATATATATAAAAAAACATAATATATATTGTATATAGTATACATATGTACAATGCATATTATACTTACACCATATATGTACCATATACTGTACATATATACATATTTATACACAAAGTACACACACACATTTACATGCACACATATTCAATTACACACACTAAGAAGGCATAACAGTGACTAAGGAGTTAAAACTCCATTAGGATTTCCACTGAAATCCATATTCCCTTCAGCCTACTTCCTCTTTGTGCATAAGCCTGTGTTTCAGAGTTAATTTCTGAAACTAAGGAGGAGAAAAAGTCACAACTGAGGAACATGCTGTTTTCACTCCTAATGATTAAGCAAAACTTTGCTTTCAATCCCAGTTTCAGTAGGCTGGCTGTATTTGTTTTTATGTTATTATTATTTCCTCAATTTTAATACACACAGCTGTTGAAGAGCCTGATTATCCTTAATAAGAGTGAAAGACACAGACTTTAAAAGTAACTGGCACAGAGTATAAAGATACAAGTCCAATATTTTGAAATAGTCATAGAGATTTGAATAAAAGCCAGGAAATAATGAGCAAGAGATGAAGTTCTGTCCTGATTTCTCCCACTCTTCCGTCTGTTCAAATTCTCCTGTTGTCCAAAAGAGTGGCAATACCTAGTCACAATCAGGGATGGTTTTAGCTTGCACTGTCATCAACAGACTTTATGAAAATTCTGCATGGAAACAGAGGAACTAAATGCAGAACTCTACAGTTTAATTTAGCATACCTACACTGCTCAGAATTCATGGGCTATGTCTAACTTTTAGACAAAGGTTAATTTTTCAATTCATGCCATAACTCCTATGAGATCAGGTGTCATGATTGAAAGGCTCTTGGTTAGAAAACAAAAGAACAATGGCTACCATGCAGCTTAGTGGTTTCAACCTCTTCTTGATTTTCCAGGAGTGGTACAGAGTTTTATTTAGCAACTGCAGGCCTACTGACAACAAACTTGCTTTTCTTAGACATGTTTTGCAAACTCTTTGAAACAGTGCTCACACTGCTAAAACCCACTTGTTTAGTTAGCTTTTTTCTGCAAGAATTTTAAAAACCAAGCAAGTGCACTTTTTTCCTGAGCATCCTTTTTAGTAGTAAAAACCTTGCACAGAGCAAATTCTGAATTGCAAAATGCTCTGCAACTGCCACCAGCATTTAACTCACTGTATCACTGCTGCACAGATAATAATGGGGTACAACATTTCTAGTCTAGCTCTAACATGAAAAAACCCAAACCAAAAAAATACACCAAACCCACAAATCCATCAGTTTATCAATAAAATCAGCAAAAATAGACAAAGAGCAAATCTACACAATAAGCTGTTTTGTGTAATAGTACTACCCTTTACAAAAGGCTTTTTAAGTGCAAAGATCTGCGAATCTGAAGGAAACACGTTAGGACTTCTGCATTCCCTGCAGGCTCACCAAGATTTTCCTGGGCACTTACCTGGGGCTCCATTGGCCTCTGCAGGGCAGGCTGAGCAGGTTCTGAGTTTCCATTGGAAAAGGACTCTGATCTTGAAGGCACTGGTGGCTCCAACACTTTGCCCATCTGTTTAGACTGTGCTTCAGGGGAGCCCTGATTAGTTTTTCTAAATCTCTCCTCCACCTAAGCCAAAATAAATGGAGGTTAAGCCTTGAGTCAGTAAAACCAATTACAGGAGAAATACAAAGGGCAGTACCACCTTTTCTTTACTACAAAGAAAGCAAATACATTTGGGGTTTGGCAGGATTTTTTCCATACCACTTTTGCCAGCAAATTCACTGAGTGAACTACACCAAAGCTCCAAGTAGGCTGATATGGATAATCCATACTAGGGAGAGAGGAGATAAGGAGGTAGCAAGATGTGAGATATGATGAAAGACCATTATGGGCCTTCTTTCCGCCTAGACTAATTTTCCATGAGTACTTTCCTCACAGATAATAAAAAAGATATACCTAAACAGAAACAACTTTACAATATAAAAGTATTTCCCACTGCTATCCCTTACTTTAGCTGCCCACCTTATGCAAGCAATGGTTTTGGATTATCTGCTTTCCTGTGCTTTTCTCTTCAGCAACAGAAGAAGAGACAGGAGATGTTTCTCTACCAGGTAATACTGGAGTCTCTTCAGCTTTAGGCTCAAAAGTGTAGATCTTATCTCTCTTATCAAATACTCTCAGCACAAACTCAAAGGCTGTAGAGGACAGTCCCATCAGTTTGTTTCCTGTTCTCAGGAAGATGTAAATTGATCTTATGTTAACCTCAAGAGCTTGCTGAGGGGAAGACTAAATCAGAATGTTCTCAGTCCTCAGCAGACCATCAAGCAAGGTCCCCATGCAGAAATGTCACCTCTATCAAGGCCACAACACTGACAACAAAGTGAGAGGTATGAAGGACAATAGATGGAGGGAGGCTACAGGCAGAAAGGAAACAGCCTCTCATTTCCTAAGAAAGTCTGTTGCTAGAACCAAGGCAGCATCTGCCAGGTAAGCTGCCTCTGAGGAATGCTAAACTCCCAGTATTTTATCAAAGCACCAAAGATCAAACTGGAAGCTTGGGATGATTTAATTTGCTTTAGCCCTTGTGCCCAGAGCACAAAACCAGTATTGGGATGATTTCCTAATGCTCCCTAGGAGTGATGGTCTGGAGAGACTGGCCTCCAGAAGACAGGCAAGTTTCCAGACTCCTCGCCTCAGGTGGGCTCCTCTACAAACCCAACCTGTCTCTGCATTCCAAAATTTGAGGATAGTACCAGGTTGCCTATAGGGACAAGCAGACAAGCTTCTGTTAAGGTCTACACAAAAACACAATGTCTTGGGAAGAGTACAACAATAATGGAGGCAAGCATCTTCACCATGCAATCATTTTCACCACTGTGTTCAACTTCATAGAGGCATTCTTTAAAGTCTAAAAAACAGGCCAGACTCCTTGTTATGAATAGAATAAGGAAAAGCCTCAAGTCTTTCTGTCTGAAGCAACAGGTTTTCACATCTCTAGCTGTAGATTATAGGAAGTTTCTTCTACAAAGCACATAAACTGCATGAGCGACATGTCCTCAAAACCAGACAAGTGGCAAGGAGATAGAGTGCATTCCTGGACAGAAACAGGTCCTATTCCAGTCATCTGACTGTCTGTACCTGGAAGTGATATTAAGTTCTAAGCTCCCTGCTGTTTCCCTAAGCCAATCTTAGAATTCCTTTTCCTTATATCCTCACTGCTACTGCAATGAGGAAAGAAAACTAATCACCAATAAACTTTGCCAAGCAGGAAGATCAGTCCACTTCACCTTACCATCCCAATATCAGCATCTCTGTAGGTGGACACTTTTTCTGGCTGAAAGTATGAGGCACAGAACACTCATTCCAATTCACTGTTTTATGTAAAGAATGATGTCAGAGTTAATGCCTGCTGCTAGGATTAAATTGTGCCATTCCCACTGCCAGGTATCAAGACCTTATGGCTATACTTCTATCACATTTTTTAAAAGACTATTACACAATGGTCTCTGGGAAGATCTGACTACTAATCAATTTTTCTGTCTTTACTCTTTTGGGCTAGAGCAATCACAAAAGAAAGACTACAACAGGAAAAACAACTGAGTCAGTGGTTCTCCTAAAGGATGGAACACTTGAATCTTTTTCTCTCCTTTTCAGCTCTGAGAGGAAAATGAAGCAGATACAGTTCTGCATCCCTCTAAATCCCAGCCAGCATTCAGGCTGGACAGAAGTGCTAGACTGGCTATGCTTTAATTGAAGTGGGCCAAGAGCATGCAACAAGGACAAGAGGGCTGGTTCCATGTCTGCACCATCACATACCAGACAAGTCTGAACTTCTTCCAAGTAAGAAAGACACATCAGATGTGTCCAAGTAAGAAAGACACATCAAACAGAATGGATGAGATAGGACAAACATAGTTTTTTAAGAACCTGGACAACAGCATCTAGAATAAAATGAGTTTGTGTCCACCAAGCTCAAACAATAGTACTTCAAAGACTAAGAGGCACTGCTGGATGAAGCTGAACCAAGAGCTATTTTATCATGTTTAGCAGGCCTAAATATATTTTCTGTTCTTGTTCCAAAATGCATTTATCTAGTTCCCACATGCAGCTGATGAATGCCATTAAGAGCTTGGACTAACATTGCCCAGTCTGGTGGTTTGTGGGCAGTATGGTGCTCAAGGGAAACACAAGAATAAGATCACTGAAAGAAAGCCAATATACATCAAAGAGGTGTTCACTTGCTTACCAATGTTACTCATGGACCAGTGAAGACTCACTGAAAGGCACAGCACTTCAGATCAACTTGTAAGTGCCTGAAGTCGAAGAAGGCAGCACCATAGAGTTTCAAAAGAGTGGGACGTGATCTCAGAAAAGAATACTTAACATTTCAGAAATGAAACTAATGAAATTCAGGTTTGTGTTCGTGAGAAGGAAATTTTGAAAAGTGTAAGTTAAAACACCAAATGTGTACAAATGTGCTGAGTGTTAACATCCATCATAGGTATGTGCTTTCCAACTGCCTCTCAATTTCAAATCACCAGTACTTGCCAGAGACACAGACCATTGGACCAACAGTTCCTAAGAAAACATGTCTGATGAAGCACAGATACAACTTCCTGACATGATACTTCCAAAACCAGGCCCCTTAGTCTGCAGCCTTCCAGACCTTCTTTCCAACTTTTACACCTCAAAAAGCCTGAACTCCAGTGATTGCAGCAGAAGTACTCGGAAGTTGCCCTAGGGCTTGAAAACCAGTAACCAACAGTTAAAATATCCTGCTCCTTATGGGTGGTGCTTTGGTGTAGCAGAACTGCAGTCATGCTGATGGCAGCAGGCAGAGAAGCAGTTAGCAGACTCCTGTTCACCAGCAGGACTTACCTCACGTGCTCTTTCAGCAGGTTCATAGTGGGATTTTGGCTCAGGGGTATGATAACTTTGTTTATTTCTTTCTTGCTGCTGCTGCTGTTGCTGCTGCTGCTGTTGCTGCTGCTGCTGCCGCCTGTGGTCGTGCTGCAGTGACAGGAGGTAGGCTTGCTCCTGCTGCAGCTGCCGCTGGAGTCGCTCTGCCTGCCGGTGCTCCTCCATCTCTCGCCATCTGTATTCCTTTGAGAGAACGGGGGAGGAATTCAAGACATGACACTGACTGTAAGGTGGACGTGTCCCTACCAATCCCATTAAAAATGCACCTTTCTGGTTGCTGTTTTGTTTGTTTGTTTGTTTGTTTTATTGTTAACGTGTAACCAAGAGCTAAGTTAGACCCATATGACTTGTGTCTTATGTTGGGAAAGTCATGAGTGTACTGCTAAGCTTGACATGATTGGAGAGTTATGACAAAACTGATTTTTATTAAAGGGAAAAAAAGAGTTGTTTATACTAAATCCAGTATTAAGTTCATAAAACAATGATTTAGACCAACACTAGGCCATTGTATCCTGGGGTGGATTTACATATCATGTGTGCTTTTGATCTGCAACACAAGCACTCTAGTTCTTCACTGAATGCCAAGGTCTGTTCAGAAACTCGACCACCACACCAGAACTGTTCCACTTTAACATAAAGCCTCCTCTTATTGCCCAGAAAGCAGTGTGACCATACAGCACTTCTCATATGTGCCTGTCAGCCCACAACACTAGCATAAATGGCCTTTTAATCAAGCTCCTTTGTTGTCATACTGTCAGTGCAGCTGTGCCCGACTGAGGGAAGCCTAGGACTGGCTGGATAAATGGATCCTATAGCTACTGAACAAAACAGATACAGTGCTTTACCAGTAACATGGCCTGCTCCTGGAGCAGCTGCTGCTGTAGAATTTCCAAGTGCCGCTGCTCCTCTTCTAGCTGTCGCCTGATATACTCCTGTCACATAGAAATTACCCAGCAATAAATTTATTCAAAAGGAATGCATCAGAACCCCCTGGGTGGAACACCACACGCTACTTCCCCAGTTCAGCTTTAATGAGAAACTCACTTCAGGATGGATTAGTGCCTGCAGAACAATTTAGGAAGCTCTGCCTCCTGAGCATGACATTTTGGCCCCTCCTGTTCTGAAATGTGCACTCCTGCAAATGTTGCCGGCACAGGCCAGTGCTCATTTATGTATTTTGGAAGTGGTTTCAAGAAGCAGCAAAACGCACTTGAAGGTTTTGGTAAGTTAAAACACAGCAAGTCTGACTCAACACAGCCAATACAAAGTCACATGCAAGTTGTATTAAACATTAGTGTGTTGCACTGGTGCGATGAACTGTTAGCAACAGCTAGAGCCAGGCATAGTGTAGGCAGAGCTGGAGCAAGCTCCCCCAAACGGGCTCTGCCAAGTGCAGTTGGGACCTGCCCTGCCGAGTCTCCCCTGCCGCCCTCACCAGAAGCCTCTCCTGAGCAAACACTGCCAGCCTTGCTGAATTATGCGATGGTTATGACACAAACAAACATCCACCAGGAAACAGAAATTAGACCAAACTCGCTTGCTCTTGCCATCTAGCCACCTCTTCACCTGCAGCCTCAACAGATCAAGACATTTACCCTCGCTTCACCTAGCCCCTAGAAGAACTCAAACTCTGAAGCACCAAACCCAAGCTGGTAACATCCTATCATGCAATTAATGGAAGTATGTAACATGTGCATGCGCACACACACAAGCACACGCACACATTTACAGTGTATGCATAAAGAAATTAATGGATCAGTGATACAGTGATGGGAGTTATAGAAAGTCTTGTGACAGACTGATGAGATACACCATACTGCTGTTACGCACATTGGCTGAGCCACAGTTTGAGTTAACAAAAATTCTAAGAGGGAATGTGTCTTTTCTTCTAAAAAAAAAAGAATAAAAATTCAGAGTGGTTCAGCTTGGCCACACCAATTAACCATTTGTCATTACTGGCACTGTGCGTAATTAGCATTTCAACAGTTTAAAAAGCAGCTGGGGGAATACCCGGTGTCTGCCCAAAAGCAAATTGCTATGCTGTAATTAGAGATTTTCCATATATTTATTCCCATTGGTTAGTCTTCTCTCCTTTTGACTCAAGAATCTTTGAAACATACACAAACACAATAAAATTTCCCAGTAACACAATCATCAGTGATCTCAATACAGTGAATTTATGTAAGAAAAAATTAAGGTATGTCAGGCCAAACCCAGCATTCCTGAAGTTAATGGGAAATTTACAATCAATCAGCCTCTAGGACAGAAGTTTTGGCCCTTTATTTGCAATCAGCATTTTGCAGTACATGCACAGTAAGTATTGCTCTGATTATCACCCTGATTGAAGTTATTAAAGGATTTTAAAACATGCAGATTTCATGCATGAATATAGCAGCTGAATTTCACAGTTTAACAAGTTTCTCAGTTGTACTTTCAATGTATTAAGGGCACACTGGCATAATTTAAGATATACTTGCTGCCTGAATGGGCATACGTTACTGATTTTAAACAGAGTAAGAGAGGGAAATTGCATATTGAAGTTTTAGGATGGAAAATCCTCTGCAGCTCAAAGATTTCATCTCAAATTCAGAGTATTCAAAGTTCATGCCAATGACCAATTCTGTGTGCCAGAAGTTGACACACAACAGAGCTACCCTTCTCTTGGGAGGCCTTCTGATCAGGGGCATGTCCTGCAAGAACCACTGATCCAGCAAGACAAGCCTAGAAACAGTTTTCAGCCCCAGTCATGATTTTGCCAGTTCTGGTGATTTTAGTCCAGCCCAGGGGCATGAACTGAATTTAGAATGAGTACTGCAACAAGACTTCTTTTTTTGAGAGAATATTGAGGCTGCCAGAATTTTCCATAAAGCCCTACAATCCTATGTTAGTACACTTGCTGTCAAAAACAACGAAGATGAAAGAGTTAGTGTTACATTGCCTCTAAGCTGATTTAGGCTTACTACTTTTTTAAAAATTAAATTAGAATTTAGAAGAAACAAACGTATTGCACATATATCTGTATCATGGACTCACCTGCTCCCTTTCTACCCTCCTCTTTTCCTCCTCTGCTCTTCTTCTCTCTTCCTCCTCCTTACGCCTCCTCTCCATTTCTTCCAGACGTCTTTTTTCCTCCTGTTCTCTCCGCCTTTGCTCACGCTCTTGTTGCCTTCGAGCTTCCCTTTCTCTTCTTTGTTGCTACAAAAAGGGAAAAGAAACCACAGAGTTTTACTTTTGTTGTTATCAAAGAAAGAGGTGGGGTTGTTTTCTATGGTGAAGAGCGGGATTTACCAGGACTAGCAAGCTCTGCAACTGAGTGACAAAACAGTTTATGCAAGTGCTCCCTCCACCAGGAAACCAAATTCATACCCAGCACACATCTATCCCTAGAAGCAGCCTCACTTAGACTCTCTGGCTTCTTCATGCACACACACAATGTCATGCACCATATTCCTGATGACAATCGAGGTGTGGAAACTCACTCCTCTCTTCAAGAAAGGCTAACACAAACCCCAGTCCTCAAACAACTGTTGAACTCAGAGATGACAACTTTCTTGACATCAACAATCTACTTGTTGCCAGAAGGGAGTGATCAGCCCTACTAAATCAGCTAACTCAAATGCCAACTATCCGAACCTTCCCTAAGTAGCTTGTCTCTCAAAACAGTTGGTCTGCTAAGAATTTTGTAGTGTTGGCCCAACAATCAAGCTTAATTTAATGCACTGCCCAAAACTTTGCCTAAGAGAGAAGGAAGGCTGGCCAACAGCACCTCAGCTCCTCCCAAAACATCAAATGCACCTTTAAGTAAAAGAGGAAAAGCAGCTAAGTAAGATTTACACTTACACAGATAAGCTTCCACACATGACCCAAATACAAACAGGTGCTGATTAGGTATGCTCAAGTCTGAAAAGAACCTGGAAAACAGCTCTAGAAAGCATGAACTGACTCATTTATGTCTATGGAGCACCATATATGACTTCAGAGAAGACATTTTAAATGCCCATGTAGTCGTGACCAATTCTTCCTGCACTCCAGCATAAGCATCCAGTTACTCCACCTACCTCGAAATCCCAGGCAGCCTCCCACAACTGCCTAAGCGTCAAAAGGCCCAGCTGTCTCCTGTTCAACCATCAGCTGGGAATATCACTACATTTACTGTCTTTATAGGTTTCTATAACATACTAAAAAAACATGGAAGAAATTTAAATCAAAAAATAGCACAAACAATTTTAATCCCAAGAACAAAAATGAAAACCTACATTGGTTTTTCCTTATCACATCTATGTTAAGGTTAATACTATCCCAAATTTCTGTTGAAGCAAAGCTGCCACGGATTTGCCTATCTTAATGCACTTCAAATAGTCCAGCAAGAAAGAGCACTCACACTAAGCTTTACTTTGGGTTCACAAATCCAGTTACTGGTGTGAGTTTCATAGTTGTGCTCAACTGAAAAAGCAAAGGCTGATCTACACTTGCTGTGTTACTTCGTGGGATGAGCTTTCTCTGCTTGGAACATTTTCCTGCATTACTATGAAGGAACTGAAATATCAACAGCCTCTCCATCTTCTGGAATCTATTCTGACATGACAGTGGAGAAGAAATATTGGGGGGGAGGAAAAAGATGGTTCTTGGGTTTTCTGAGCTCTTCTGCCAAGAGAAATTGTGGATGTCCCATCCCTGGCAGTCTTCAAGGCTAGGCTGGATGGGGCTTTGAGCACTGAAAGGTGTCCCCTGCCCATGGCTGGGAACTTAGAGCAGAATGGTTTTTAAAGGTCCTTCCTACACAAACCATTCTGTGATTCCACCAATTAGTAGCACTTAAATAATACAGGCTGCTTTCCAATTCTCTTTCATTAACTACAGTTTGGGGGAAGATGTGACTTTCCTGGAGACCCCTGTTGAAACACACCCACGCTGTAACTATCATGCCTTCTTCCCTGGCCCACGGCATCATGCTGGGTTCACTACCACCTTCCTGTGCCACAAGACAAACTCTTTTATCCCCCACACTTTCTTTCTGGATCTTCTCAGAAACACAGCTTCCTTGTTCTTGCATCTCTCCTAACTAAATCCATTTAGCAGCCTTTTCACTCGTGCTTAAGCCAACTCTCTTCAATGAATGTAGATATAAAAATAGCAAAAGCGCTGCAAGGCAGCTACGGCACGCGGTGCATTTCATAGGTTTCACTGCTTCCCCTCCTTCATTTTTTAAGCACTGTAAAAGGATTAAGTAGGCACTTTTATTTCTAAATATATGCCTCAGTGTCAAGCAATTTCTACATTTAAGTCAATATATTCAGGTCCTTCTTGGCTAATCAAGTCTGACAGGCTTTTGTTTAAGAAAACTAAGATGTGAAGTACAATAATTCTGCTGCCTTGAGGATGCAAGAGACAGCACACTGCTGACTGGTTAATATAATATGCACATTTATCAACTCAAACAATATTGTGTTGACATTGTTAAGTGGATATATTGCAGATCTCAGGATGGCATCATTCTCACTACAAGGAAGACGGGCAAATTCACTGCTTCTTGAATTAATTCAGAAGTATTTGGCAATAATTATAAATAACTGAACTTAATATGAGGGAAAATGAGCTACAAACTGATTAAGAGAGCCAGTTTCTCATGGCAGCACAAAATAAACAAAATCAATTGTCAAAAGATGAGATTTTTGATGAAACCTTGATCCAGATATCTAACTCGGCACATCAGCAGATATTTATTACCCACCAAAGGAATAGGGGGGGAAAATGGATTTAAGACAAATCTCACAAATGTGCTCCTGTCTATGTGCCAAAGTAGGCAGGGAGATCAGGATTCTCAGCATCACTTTCACCTTCCCATCAGACACTGTCTCAGCCTCCTGCCAGCTGAGTGGGAAGGGAGGTACCCAGCACTGCAGGAGCCTGCACAAACACACTGCATGATCCCCTTATTCCCAGCCCTAAATGTATAATAAAGGTTTCACTTCCTTTGCACGTGGCCTTTGAAACCTCAGCATCAAACCAGTGGTCATAAATGAAGTGCAATTTACTTTTAACATGCCCAGGGAGAGGAAATCTACAGTGACAACCATCTCTTGGGTCCTAGTGCACATCTTGTCAAAGCAATGCCAGAAGTGGTTTGTAGCAAGTTGAGTTGACCCAACCTGGCTTCAGAGCCAGCCCTATACTGACTTTCTTGCTTCCATCTGCTGGCACAAGGTTGCCTTCCTGACTGGCTCTAGCAACTCTTCTATGAGGACACCAAAACCTGATCATTGTGTGCCTTAGGCCTGCCCACAGGACAGAAATGGGACAGGGAAAACCTGTTAAAATCAATGTCATGTTTCTACATATAAAAATTTGCCTTCTAAATTTAGTTTGTGTGATTGTCAGATACTGTAATTTTTGGTCATGCACTACAAAAATGGCCTGACATAAAACACTGTTGTCCAAGAAACAGCAGATCAAGATTCCTGAACTTTGGGATGCATATGCAATCTTCTAAAGTTGGTATAGTATTACCAACTTTCTTGCATATGTCAGATGAAAAGCTTATTTCCAAGGAGCAAACTGTTAGCCAGAAAGTAAGGCAAAAACTCTTCAAAGAAATGTCAGACATGCCAAAACAGAATTTTGACAGAGCCCATACTGCCTCAAATTACTGCATTTCACAAAATGGGCATTTACTATGCAAACAACATTTTAAAAACCCACAAAGAAAATACAGTGTCAATACCCTGGCTCCTTATCTGGTTTTAGGGTGCAATAATAATGATCTCATAATGGAACCTGACATCTCCAAACTGGAAGTCCATGCAGTAGAGCACGATTTACCAGGAGGGGGCAATGCAACTACACAGGCAGTTTGTCTATACCAACTAATTCAGGCCCTTCTTCCTACAGTGAAATATTCAAGATACAGATCCTTTAATTTTAAATTCCTAAAATATTATTACTATGTCTCATATTCAGAAGAAGATTGATAATACCTATATTAATTATTTCTTTCACAAAGAATTAGGTAGCCTGGTATCAGCTTAGAAAGAGAATCGGCAAGATTAATAAAGAGATTTTTGCTTTGTCCACACTAGAGATAAACCAGAAGTAGAACTTTTTACTCAGTACCAATTCAAGATGCAAGCAATTCAAATTAAGTAGATAAGCTCCCCTTCTGTAAAAGAAATAAAGCCCTGGCAAAAATTGCCTGCAGGTACACCTACATTAGCATCTTGGTTCAGATCAGGAGTGCTCTTTTGAAGTGAATCATCCAAACATCTCCACTTATCCAGTTTTGTTTCGTATTCTGAAGATGTCTTGGAGTGCCAACCACACCTTTTGGATGAAATTAAAAAGGCTGATGCACTCCAACCACAAGCAGGCACAGAGTCTAGACCTCAGCCAGTCCAAAGGAATTCCTCCTGTCTTTAAACACATGAAGTCTTCAGGTCCTCAGCACTTTAATTATTGTGCTCCACAATCTGCTTCTACAGGACTGTACTACTTGCCAGTATAGCTATAACCTACCACTTCAAAAACATCCATCTTAGGTTCTCATAACCAGGGACAGAGACACCATTTAATGAAGCTATCCTGAACTGTGGAGGTCCACAGAGAATGGGATTCCAGCACAGCCAATTTTTAGCTTCCTGAGCCAGACTCAGTTTTGCAAGTACAAATTCAAATGCCTTCTCATACTCAGCAGTTGTCTCCATGTTGCTGAATAGAATCACAGAATCCCATTAAAACAGCCAGGAGCAGGTCAGATTTCTTGTTTAAACTATCTAAACACCTACATAGTTGACAGTCTTTATATATCTTTTAAACAAGGGTTGGGGGTGGGACAAAATCCCAGTTGCAAAATTCTCATGTAATTTTCTGTAGTTTGACCACATGTCATTTTCACCTCCTCAGTAAGACACAAACTACAAGGTTCCTGCAACAACGACATTTAGAAGTCACCTATATGCCTTTTAAAAAGTAATCTTTTCTCTAATACTGCTGAGAATTAGAGTTTTTGGCAGATGTCCTAAACACCGTTCCTGTTACAGTCTCGGTCAAAACTGTCTAGGCTCTGTGCCAGCATTGTAAGAACAAGCCCTCAATTTTAATTTAGGAAGTGGGGAGGGGGGGAAGTATATGCAACTTGTTCAGGAAGATTATCTAAGGCATAAAATTCTACCAAAGAATATTAAATAGGTATATGCATACATACTTTACACAAGCAAAAATTACAAGACAGCAAGTCTGGTAAAAATATCAACTCATTTATGAACGCCCTGAGCTTCAATGCCTGACACTAATCTTGACATTATCAAGCTCCTCATTGTTTACTGGCTTCATCAAAACAGGGGGGGTGAGTTAAGGACAAAGTGACAACATTTCAATATTTTGGCCTTCAATTGTGTCACAACACTAATGTTTATCTAAATTTGTGTCTACTACCCTTCCCCCATCTGAAAGAGCTTGTTTTGGCTGCTGTTTTGTTGAAAACCACTTGGGATCATACATTTTTCCAACACGAGATCCAATTAACTAAGTGGGATTTTTTTGAAAGCTAAATGTGAGTCTTTTTTTTAATGCACTTGATGAACAATATGGCTACACTATCACCTGCAAAAGGAAACTTTTTAAACTCACCTATTTTATAACTCATTCCTATTTATGCCTCCAAGGAACCAAGCAGAGGTTATAGACCCATACAAGGTAAAAAGCTTTGATCTTACAAATTTTACATGTTTTACCATGCAACCTTATTCAGTAATACAATCTACATTACATACTGTCTTGTGGCTGTGGAAGCTGTCAGTTTTATTTTGAACTTAAAAAAGCAGGACTTATTAAACATAACTTTCAGGTAAAAAGAAAAGGTAACTGCCTTTTCTTTTTACTTGCTCATTCTGTTATAACTGCAACATCTCCAAAAAGTTCAACCCACACAGAGAAAATGGTGCATTGCTTTGTTTCCACTAGTAGCAACAGCAGCTCCTTTATTTTAAAAAGAAAATCCAGATTTTAAGAGTTGCACTGATTACTAAAGTTAAATGACCTAGATAATTTAATTGTAATCCTCTCTTCCTCAACAAAAAAATACTGCCTGCAGAACCTTAGAGATTAAAGGGGCATTTAAAATAAATCATTGACTCCCATACTAAGAAAAATTTGAGTAGTTAAACAGTAGCTCAACTTTTGCTCACCTTTTATTTTTCTAGTATCTTTATTACTTACTCCACAAACAGTCTAAAACAGTTGGAAGTGCTGTAAGGTTTATCTTGGCATTCTCTGAAGGGTGGGAAAGAAACAGAAGAGAAAAGGGGTTTATATGCCTTCCCCTCATCCCTCCTTATGGATTCATGTGTGGCTGAATCTTAGCTACCAATCCCTCCTTATAGCAGCACTAAACTCATTTGCACTTTGGAAAAGAGGGATAACGAGCATAATGTGACCTGGAAAGGTATTTGGAACTTTGTATTACTTGTTATGCAAACAGGTCATGGGATGCAAATCAACATTTGGTCCTGGTTGCATCCTCATTAAACGTTACCAGAATTTGGAAAAACCAGACTGGGTGTAGTTTTTCCATCACTGCTAAGTGAAAGGTTGAAACAGACTCAAGCAAGAGGTCATTTAAGGACAACTGGAATTTGACCCTGCACTTCCTGAAGAGCCAGAGCATTGGTTTCACTTCAACTCTGTGTCATACCCAGCTCTGGCCTGAAGAGCTGTTTTGAAATCCTCCTACTTCTGAAGCTCATGCTGCATATTCCATCTACATATATATATATATATATATATATATATATAAATGCACACAAGATCTTAGGAGGTGAAAATATGACAGAACAATATTGTCCACATACATTTCACTTTCTTTTATCTTCCAGTACTGTATAGAAATTGCATACTTACTGTATCACAAAAGTATGGTTTACATATTTGTAATTCCTGCAGAATTATAATTTTAACACTGATTTACAAAACATATTTATAGATCTACCTTTAAGGGCCCCTTCCAATCCAAATCATTCTATTATTTTATGGTCTAGGTGGTTTTTAGTCACTAAGCTACTGCTCATGAGAGAATAATACATTAAAAAACAGGCTTCCATCTACCATGAATGAGTGTCAAACACATGTTTGAGAAAGCTTTAAAGGGAAATCTGAAAAATGTTATGGCCCCCAAAACAGTACTCTTGAGAGAAAAATCCGCCTGGGAATAATTTATGTCTCCTCTTCTGTCTACCTACGCCTAGACAAAGACCAAGAACGAGCCTCTTCAACAAAAAAAGCCTTCAAACAACCCAGCTCTGGCTCCTGTTGTCTTCATGGGAGCTGCTGGATATTCAAATGCTTTAGAAGACGCCTTATATTCAAGTACCAAGCATGGATTTAAGTGCTTTGCCCTTTGTTTACAGTTGGATTTTCAGATGATGCTTTCTTTCCTGAGATAACCTGGGGCTACAAAGAATTCTTTTGAAATGGTAGGAATGGGAAACAAGAGGGGGAGAGGGGCTTCTGCCCCCCAAACTCCAGTCTCCTGTTTCTACCTCTTCTAGCCGCCTCCTCTGCTCCTTCTGCTGCTCGATGCGTTTCTGCCTCTCTGCCAGCAGCTGCCTCTTGTACTCCTCCTGCTCACGGAGCTGCTGCTCCTGCAGCAGCTGCTGCCTCCGAAGGGCCTCGGACCGTTCCTTGTTTTCCTGCTGCAGTCTCAGGAAATCACGTCGGAGGGTTGATTCTCCAGGCACATTGACAATGGAACTGCAACAAGAGGAAGTTAAAGCCTTCTGTATGATAAAGCCTGATGGGCCATTAAATACCTTTGCCAAAGCAGGGGAACATTAATAAAATATACCATGATGTTAAAGTTTAATCTTGTTTCTTTTGGAGCAAAGACTCTGGATGTATGTCAAATACACGCTCTCAGTGGAAGGCGTGAAATGAGGCCAAGCAAAGTAAGGACAAATGCTAACACTGTGAAGACCCTGATCAATCATATTTGCCATAAATCCAAAGCTTGTTTGCTCTCAGTCATAGGAAGGGGAGCTTTCAAACCTTCAACAGTCACAGCATAGGTATTCAAACCCTTTGAGTGGTTTGTGCATTCACTTAATAAGAGACAGAAATTTAGCATGCTGATTTATAATCACAGACCTTTGGACTTACTCTGCATGGACTGCCCAAAGCCATCCCAAAAGCAATTATTACCTTGGCTCTCCTTCTTGTTCAGGCACTTCCTCCTCTTCTTCCTCACTTCCACTATATTCATACTCCGTCTCATCTGACAGGAAAGAAACAAAGGCCTGGATAGTACTTTAATTTAGGGCAGTGGGGAGTTGCAGTAGCACCTCAGTAAACCAGCTCCTGTCCCCTTCAGTGAGAAGATCCATCACAGACCCTAGAACTCATTCTATATATATAAGCTCATCTTCCCAGCAGCACAGTGGTTTGGAGAAGACTTCCAGCAAACTCTCTAAACAATATCAGGTTTTACATGTAAGACAAGACACCTGGAGAACTCCAGCACCACCTGAATAAGGAGAAAAGGCTGCCCAAAACATTTGCTTCACAGCTCTTGTGATGGGTTATTTCCTGTGAGTCTGATTTATGGCATCATTCCAGGAAATGAATCTACCACAGACTTAAGAAGGGAAAGGCATATATGCCAATATCCTCCTAAATACTGTTTAATGCTTGTATGGAAGAGTGGCCAGCAAGTGAGCAGATTTAATCTATCAGAAAATACAGCACTTGAAATTTATACTTTCTCTGTAAAGGACAGAACAAAACGGAGCCTTCTGATTGTCAAACTATGAATTAAAAAAGAACTTTATAAGTATTTGGGCTACAGGAGCTTCTTTTGGGGTGGGTATTTAGAATGCAAAGCAGGACAAAAATATGCATTTTTGACAAGTGGAAAAGACTTGATTTTTAGAAGCTGCATACCTTTCTCTCCTCTCTTCTTCCTGGTCCTGTCTATATGGTCCTTAAGCTGGATTCGGACTTGCCTTTCATTTGGCTGGTCACGTATAAAGGGATGTTTCAACAGCTGTTCTGTAGAAGGTCGCTGCATGTAATTCTTCACTAGACAACCTTCTATAAAGCTGAAAAACTTTTTTGACCTGAGAAAGCAGGAAGAGAAAAAAAAGCAAAAGATGAGAGGTAAAACTCAGCTGAAACATTTTTCTTGTCCTTCCTCAAATTAATTACCTCCAAGAGCATCATGTCCCAGAGAACAGTACAAGTGCTGCCTGCAAGTGTGCCTCCTAAACATATCTGAGTGTGTTCCAGCTGAGCACTGGGCTGGAGTGACACAGGGCTGGAGGGACACAGGGTGACATGAACATTCCTGAAGCACTCTCAGGCACAGCCTCACTGTAATGTGCCCTGTTTCAGAGGGATAACTGCTCTGAAAGTCAGGATCTATGAGGTAAATCATGTAAACCCAGCCTAGCTGCTTCTGGATCAGAGCTGAATAGAATCTAGCCTGCTTGGAGGAGGCAGCTCTGGTGTACCTCCACTTACCCATGCTACAGATAGCCATTCCCAAAGTCAGGAGAACTGTGTCAGAACATTCTCCTGACACAAGCAGCACCACACTGCTTTTGCATGCACCTGGGCTCACAGAGTTAGATCTGCCAGAATTTAAGATTATTTTATCCTTTACCTTAAGACACAAAAAAAATTTTACAGAACTAGAGGTGGGTGTTGGTCAGTGCTTGTCTGTTCAACACAGGCACTTAGAGTCTCTGACATAATTTAAGGGCATGAACTAAACTAAACCCCCCTGCACACAGAATAAACTGACAGGGTATGGTAGTTAGCTACGCTGCAGCACCACCTTTCCAAAATTTGCACTTCATTTGAACTCTTGAAAGGGAATCTCTCCAGAAAGAAGTCACCAAACAAGCCACCTGCCAAAATCCAACAGTGGAAATACTCAAAACTGCAATGAGGCACTGAACAGGTTGCCCAGAGAAGTTCTGGATACTCCATCCCTGGAAGCATGGAATGCCAGGTTGGATGGGTTTCTGAGCTACCTGAACTAGTGGATGGCATCCCTGTCCATGGCAGGGTTTGGAGCTAGATGATTGTTAAGGTCCCAAACCAAGCCGTTCTATGACAATTGTACAACTTTGTCATCATTTGGCCTAACTTCTCATAACCTGCAACTGAGCAAGCTATCAGAACAGCTGAGTGACAGCAACACTGCCTTGGACCAGAGCTGCTTTTTAATTGGTACATGCTCTCAACCTTCTCCAGTGCTTGGACAGCAAACATCCTCACTACATGCTTAAGAGGAAAAAAAATTATTTCCATCCATCAGTTCACTTCCCTACTGTAATAAAAAAGGCTGAATCCAATATAACTTGGATGTTCAGAATTTTTATTCCTCACGCCTTGAATGTTATTCTTACACATAAAAAGGTCAATGAATGGCTAATGCAAATGGCATATATGCATCTCTATTCCATTAATATATGCAGAAGGCAAGTAAGAGAGCAATGCCTTGAGTATACAAGTGCATAAATAAGTCAATCCAGGTAAAGACCAAGCCCAGCAAGGAAGACATGTTTATACCATGTTGATATTGAATACATAGTCCAATCACTCATTATTTTGACAGGATCACAGCATCCCATGATCCCATTGTATCAATAAGAAACCTCTTTCTACAGAGTATTTTTGTTTCATATGTGTCAGTTGTAACCAGTAACTGGGAGGAAATCCTCTGATACTAATGGATTCTTCTCAGCTGGCAAGAAGCAGGCACTCAATTCCAACCGTTTACAATAATTATAGTAAAAGCCTTCATTAGTTTTAATAGCTCCTTTCTATTTAGCAACTAGAACACCATAGCACTGTTCTGTTTCTGTGTTATGATACATTTGAGAAAACACACTGCATATTAAGAGTGCTACAGGAGTCTATATTTTAAAACATGGATTCATTTGTCACCTTAATACAGATGCTGCTCTACTGAAAAAGAAAAACCAAAAACTTTGGTATTTATTTTCACATAATTTGAGATGGAATTTCTCTGGGACAAACAGAACTAAATAATACATGCATTTTATTTCATCCTTTGATTCAGAGGCACAAAAGATAACAGAGATTTTGCTAACTTAAGTTGCTTTACAATTCTGTGGAAGGGGTAACAAAACTATGCAATATGAGAAAACTTCAGGCTACACAGGACAAGATATAATTAATACATACCATTTCTTGGATTTTAACCGTGGGGGAGGGTTCCTGGGTATCAGAAAGAGTGCCCTCATGGGGTGCATGTCACAAAGTGCTGAGGGGAAGAAAACAAAGCAATCAGAGACATAGAGACACTGGTTTAGTTGCTCTCTGTCAATGCCATGACTTGAGCTTCCACAACCACTCCCACCATCCTAAACATCCATGCAGTAGGTGTAGACAGCAACACAGCTAAATGGAATTAGCCCAAAATGACAACAGTTCCATAGCTCAATGTGCCAATGGCAGCCCAAAAAGAGAAAGAGGTCAAAGCACGGATCAGCCTCCAGAACTGACCAAGATGGGAACATCTGAGCATGGCCTTCCTCCAGCCCCAAGTCATCTGACTTACTTTCTGGTCAACAAAATACTGGGAGATGATGATGGTGGAAGGGAACAATGAGAGTTACTGTTCCATACAATCTTCCTTTACCTGCCCTTCTCTACCATTATTGAGGGTGCTTCATTTTAACTCTACAGACCTGGATATTTTTGTACTTCAAGGCATGACAGTTTTGAAGCATGGGAGGGTCTGTATCACTCAAAAGGACTGTCTGCAGAACTGAAATGCAAACTCCTAACTTTTGTCCAAAGAAGTCCTGTTTGTTTCAGTGGACATTTAGTGGGAGTCCAGGATCAACGCTGGACAGCTTTTCCTCCTGCTCCATAGTAAAGCAATATGGCAGAGCCATGACAGGGAAACAAGGGAGCAGGGAGAGAGGCAGCCCAAGAAAGGTCTCTAGGAGCAATGTTCTAACCATCTTCCTATGTTTGATCTCTTACACCCTCAGTCTCAGCCTGAGTGACCACTGCAGGATGAGGTGACATTTACCACACAACAGATATTCAGGAGAAACAGACTAGTGGGAAGAGAATTCTAGCTCAAAAATAAGGGGCATCAGTCTTGGCAAAGAAGCCCCTTGGATGCCTATGGATCCCTGCAGACCACCAAAGAATCCATAGAGATGGACTCTCAGCTGCCACTGGAGGAGGAGGAGGAAGAGTCCATGTACCAGAGGACAAGTGCTGTTCTGCACTTACAGAGGATCTTTGCTAACATCTTAAATGCTACTCTTGTGCTTTTACACAAAGAAGGGCCAAGCTCTGTTTGGTTTAGAAATGAACAAAATATTGTCCAATTCTAAGCTTACAAAGCCATACAGGCAACCCAATGCACTGAACAAAAAGGGATGGCAAAAAAGAGGGAGTTCACTTAATTCAGTGCTGGCTAAAGTGTCCTGGGAGCAGCTCTCACTTGGACATTCACGCAAATGTGCAATTAGGAAGGAAAAAGAAAACAACCCCAAACTATCAGGCCTCCTAAAACATGAATCAACACATGACCATTGTGATTTGACTTTTTAAATCTTGCATTAAAGTCAGTAAGAACAACAAGAAAATCAGGCAGTAGCTACAACAAAATCACCGATTTTTACCTGGGAAATATCAATACTTTATTTCGACAAGATTATTTCAAAGACATTTCAAGCTGGGCTGTGTTGTGGTCATAGATTTTTATGTGCAAAAAAAAATTACCTTGCTCTTAGGTACCTTAGCTCTTATTTTTTAAATACAGAGCTCCAGCTGAGGGTGAGGGTAAGTATATTTGCAAGATCAATAAGGACTTTCATAAAAATTATTATTAAAAGTCATAACACCATGCCTAACTTCTTTTCTTTTCAAAGGTTTCTGTCCTCCTCACACATCTGCTGTTTGCCTTTATATTCTGAAAGAACTATGTGAAAGGAAAAGAGCCTATTAAAAAGTTGAGCATTTTTGGTTTCCAGGTTTTCCTCTCAAATCCAAACTAACTAATAAGGATCCCTGCTTGAGAATAACTAAGTTCAGTGCTTTGTCCTGAAGAAGGATTTACAGTTTAAGCCATGTCACTGCTAAGGAAGATTAACACCACCCACTGATGAGTGGAAACAAAAGGAGAAGCAATGTTAGCATTATCCAGACCAACAGAAAGCCAACACAGAAATAGCTGCTACAAATGCTTTTTTCATTAAGATCTGTTTCCTCAAGGCCCCACTGACCCTCTCCCCAGCTGAGGTTTCAGTATTCCAGGCCAGTCCATAGACAAAGTGGGACACAGCTCCAAAACACAATATACTACCAATAGGAAGGAAGTCAGACACTCGATTAGCTTCCAAATATTCCTGCTATAGAAATTAAATTACTGCAGTCTGCACTGTAGTGTTTAAACACAACCCTATCTTTATCAAGAGCATTACTATTTATGGGATTTCATATTTATAGAGCAGGCAAAACCAAAGAGAACAGAAATAACATGGGGATATTTTCAGGAACCTCAAAACTAGGCTTAGATATACGTTTCAGCCTTAAAACGAGCCCACTGGAGAAGCACAGGGATCACTTACGGGGAGCTCCTTCTGCCATCTCTATGGCCGTAATGCCGCAGGACCAAAGGTCACTCTGCAGAAAAACAGACACACCATATGTTAGTAGGTGGATTTACCCATTCACACACTAAGAGAGCACTATTTAGAGAGGCCCTGTAGGTGAGGCTGAAACCAAATACCACGGCTATTTAAATAATATAAGCCTCTTTCATCTTGTAACTGTATCATAAAATCCGACTTTTCACATAATACGTATGTATATGCAGAAACACACGCACATATTCTTACAAACAACCCTTTCCAACAGCACATAAAAATGCATTCACATTATGACAATGGGAAATACATTTGCCAGAAATCTAAGCCTACGAAACAACAGAATTTTCAATATTCCCTTGTCAACAAAGAACTGAACAAGGGCATTCCCAGGGTGTGCAGAGATGCAGTTATAAAACCAAAAGCTCAGCTCAAATTTGAAGTGGCCAGACTTGTTGAAAACTGCAAGGAAGGGTTCTTCAGGTACCTAAACAAACAAGCAAGAACAAAAGGAAAATACAGGCCCACTGAAAGGAGAGGTGCATTAGTCACTAACACCACTGAAAAGGCAGAGGTTCCCAAAACTTACACCTCTGTCTTTACCACAGACTCCCAAAATTTACACCTCTGTCTTTACCACAGGCATTACTTATAGCCAAAGCCAACATTCCTCCTTTAGCACCTCAGCTTTGCTTAAAACACTACAGAAAAAGAGCCCTTCAGTGGCAACTTTTCAACATACCACCTCTGGCCAGCACCTCTGACTCAGGAGAGACCAAACAAGAGCCAGGAAGATCAAACACAGGGAAGAGATGGAGGAGTTCTGGCAAGGAACCAACTTCAGAGAGTGACACAGCTTAATGGGCAAAGTATTGGAGGAGACTGCTGTGAAAGAGAGCTGTTCTTGAGCAAAGCAGTCTTCATTTCTGGTCATAATTGTGATTTTTTAAAAAATTACTTTAATGAGCAAATAAGCTCTTCATGCACTACAAGCAAAGAAGCATTTCTAAAGATGATATTTTCAGACCCAGCAAGGCACTCCTCTCTTAGTCAAATGCAGCCATCTAAGCTAAAGTGCACACCCCCATGATCTTAGAGAACCTTTCAAACAATAATTTTTTTGTGAACAACCATCCTACAGGCTCCACCAGGAACAATAAACAGGTGTTTTCAGAGGAGAGGAGAGTTATTTTTCACATCAGTACTGCATTAACAAATGTTGCAGGGAGTTTTTCTGCTTAATTAAATCATTTAATAGCGAACCTTCCTTACTAATAATAACAACTCTATCTGGAAAGATATAAAACATTAGCTTTAGTACAATGAGATGCTGAATGTAAAAAGGAATTAAATCAAGAGAAATAGGATCAATCTGATCAATCTTAGTCAAAATGTCAAATAATCTGGGTCTTTTACGAAGATTTAGACACACACAAATGTACTGATAGCTAACACTATCAGTCTCAGCAAAATGATATAATTGATATTCAGCTCTATAATTCATTGTAATGCCTTAATCTCTGGCTTTCTGATATCCTTGTTGCCCTTGGTTAAAGATGGAACAATACATTAGTCCAAATAAAGGTTTCTTAAGAACCAAGAAAGGTTTCTTTCCCTGTGCTCTCATTAAAGTCAGCCGAGAGGAACTTTCAAGATTACAGTATGCTTTCACTAGATATATTTAACTATAAGTACATATACCTAATATTCTTAAGGGTAGTGCAAATACCATCAAGCCAATTATGGTTTTGCAGTAATTAAATCCTTCGTTTGCAGCAAGTTACATAAAGAATGATCTTTGTTAAGAAATGTTGTGATGGATAAATTTCTATCAAAAAAATCATGTATACGCATCCTGAAATCAGAAGTAGTTTTAAGAGTTCCTTCTGTACTTCAGTGGCTCTCCAGACGGTGGTTCTATTTAAGGCAACATCTAAAATGTATTGTTCTGGGTTACCCCAATAACTGGCACATCGTGTAACAATTTAAAGTACAATCATTATGCAAATCAAAAACACAAGCATTTCCAGGTAAACTCTTTTTTGCCTTCTCTAAGCACCTATAGCACCCTGAAGTCCTGTATTTACATCTCAAAACTACAATAATATAAGCAACAGAAAGTGTTAAAGGTCACAATTTGATAGTATCCTTACCTTGTACTTTGGTAATAAGAATGTAACTACACAAAACAGTTATTACTCCTACAAAGCATAAGAAATCTCAAAAACTGCCATAGTCCATGGACATTTATATTGCAAGTGTATGTTTTGGGTTTTTTCTTTGAACAGGACTCTTACTCTGTAATCATATGTAGCATCTGGATTCTCATCACAGGCAATAACTTCTGGAGCCATCCAGTAGGGAGTCCCAATGAAAGTGTTTCTCCTGCCAACTGTCCTGTCCAGCTGAGCACTCACACCAAAATCCACTGTGGGTGGGAAAAGAGCAAAATTAAATAAGAGTGGGAAAATAACACAATGATTACTTTTGCAAAGTGATTTGAAAACAAAGGCCTGTAGATGGGAGGACCATGCTGAAGAGAAATAAAATGATTAATCCTGAGGCAAGCGAGCCCTCGTGGTTCACACACAATGTGCTTGGGCACAAGTGTCAAGGGACACAGCAGCACACAATCACCTCTCCTGTACCCCTCACTGGTGTGCCTGGACAGGAGGAGAGCACAGCTGCAGAAGTACTGCCTGGGAGGCTGAGAAAGGGCTGTTTAGACCCTTCCCACGTGGTGAAGGCAAGCACCTCTGCCTATACAAAAACAGCCACTTCCCAAGGGTACCTCTCATGCTATGGGGAAATGGCATGCATAAACATGCCCCTTTCAGCTCACCGCTTTTTCTGCTCTAAAATTGGACAGCAAAAATAACCTGTTGTTCAGCTAGCTGCTCTCTGCTTTAATGCGCAGAGCAGAAACATCAATGAGAGCAAAAGATGAGAATTATTCAGGAAGTGCTAACTTTGGGCACACATGCACACAGGCTGGGAAAGAGATGCCCATTCATTACAAAGCAATTACATTACAAAGGTGTGTTCTGCCTTTCATTTTGCCCTGCTCATGACCACAGTGCTATATGTCCCTCTATACCAGTAACTGCATCTGCCCTAAGAGGGTTGTGTCAGCCTCACTGCACCCACTATCTGAGTGACACTGAGGAACTGGTGGAGGCCAGCTCAGTGGAAGCAGTGGTTTGGAAGCTACTGTGCTCCATTTTGGACCAAATGAAGAAAAGCTCTCCCAAGTGCTTCCTCCTCCAGCAGCCGGGACAATTTCCCATGCCTCATGCTGCAGGAAGGTGTAATGCAAAGCAGAAGGGATGTGGGCTGGGTGGGAGGGCTTCAGCATGGCTCTATATTTAACCAAAAAAAGGTGGCGAGTGTAGCGTGATACAAACACAGAAGGTTGACATGTGCACTAACTGAAAGAGACAAATTAGAGAGGAAATAAAAAAAGAGTATGTCCACTTGGCAGGAGAGAAGAGGCCAAAGATGAGCACGATTTTCAGCAGGCATGCCAGAGCTGGAACTGTGGTTTGAATTCAATGCCACAGCTCCCTTGAGAATGCTGTCCAGATCATATTTTTGTGTCCAGAACCTGAACAGCAGGTGCTATTTTAATTAAAGCTAAATACAAGAGAGACTCCTGTCACTTCCCGAGTCCAGAATAAAGTGAATCAGAACAGACTCAAGTTACACACAGCTCAGTAGGGGAAACAAAATGATCCCTGCACTGATTCTGGCATGAAAACCAACATCTCCAAACTAAATTCAACAACAACCTGTGCTCCATCCTCTCCAAGCAGGAGGAAATACATACAGGCTGTCAATCCACATGGAACCACCGACAGAGTACTCATGCTATAAAACATGTTGCAGGGCTCTTAAAAGATGAAATAATTTGGGAACATCATAAAACCAAAGGCTGAACAAATGAGGAAGTGGACATGTGTGCCTACTTACCAAGTTTCACTTCTGCGTTCTCTGTTAATAACACATTTTGCCCTTTGATATCCCTGTGAATCACATGATGGGCATGAAGATGTGCCAACCCCTGCATTAAGGAGAAGAGAGGAAGGAGAGAATGTTCAGAATTAGGCTCTTGGCTCAGCAACAGACTGCCCATACCCAGCCAGCCCCAAAGGTCACAGCACTGTGCCTTGACCTCTTGCAACTGGGTGCAGTGGGACCTGCAGCACACCACCCACACAGCTTTTGGTGATGGAGCAGAGACACAGACTCAGATCAGGCTCACACAGCACCTAAATACAGCCCAACATCTGCACTGTGCAAACACCTCCCAGCTGTCCTGTGAATAAAGTTCAGCTCCCACAAAGTCTCCAAGTAATTACATTCTAAATGACATCATTGTCAGTGTATGCCACTGACTTCTGATGTGCACAGGGTCACACAGAATTCAGCTGGGAAGGAAGTGGAAGGAGAAAGGAGGCAGCACCCACATGTATATATGCACCCCGAGAAAGAGGTGGGGGGTGATGGACTGGCAGTCATGTTTGAGGGCAAGGGAGGACAGATGACAAAGACATGCTCTACTGCAGAAGTGCAGTTCTCTTCTCTAGCCTCCATAAACATGAAACCAGATAATTGTACCTCAGGAAAAAAAAAAAAGCAAAGTGAAAAAAAAAGCATAAGCGTTATACTTTTCCAAAGGAAACAAAACCTCCTGGCATACGGTGCTTTTTGTTGAGACAGCACCTGGATACATGCCCCAAAGCATTAGCCATGTGGAGGGAGGGCTGAGAAAGACATATGTTGCATTTTACTCTCTAATGTAATTGGGAGAACAACAGGCAACCCTCTTAGCAACTGCCTGTATTTTGGGTTCTCCTCAGTTTTCTGCTCGGAAAATTGTAGTCTCAAGTGGGATCATCTTGCCTGTTCATGTTGCCCTCACAGTCTTTTAACGTTTTGTGAAAAATAAAGGAATAGAACCTTTACAGCTGCAAGAGGTTAAGAGAGTAGTGGTTGCTGTAAAGAAGTATTTCTTAACACATGTTCTTCATTAACTGATCATTGACCAGTTTTCCTACATAACCATTGGGCTGTTTTCCTTTTTTTAAAACAGGTAAGGAGTGTGACAAAAAACCACTATCTACAGCTTCCCTTCCGAAGGTCACAAGCAAATCAAGTGAACAGCTGATGTCCCTGAGACCCTTCACTGACTGCTAATGCTAAGTGTGGTCTTATTTTTCACAGGAATGAAGGCTTTTCCACAGCTTCACACAGGATATTTTTTAAAGCCTTCTGCTACTCCAACCAAGCCAGAGAGATAATCATCTGTTCTCTCCAGAGTACCATTTAACCCTACTGAACAAACAGATTTGGGGTTGCAAAGGCCTGGCAGGAGACAGAGGGGCACATCTCCACTTTCCTGCAGTCCCCAACCTTTCCAACTACACAAGGATTCACTGGGCCAACCTTCACCTGTGTCTCCACCTACACCAATCTTTGGCACTTTAGCTCTTTTTAACTTTGTGTTACACCATCTCTCTCCTCCACCTCTGACAAACTTTCTGTTGAATCAGGGTTTGAAACATCTCATTGCAATGTGAGTTTAGCACTCCTTTTTTCCAGATATTCCAGCTCCTGATGGTCAGTAATTAACACTCCTTTCTCACTGGAATGAGAAAATAGTTCTCCCTCTTTTCTGAGGTAAATATTTTTTTCCTCTTCTCAGCAAGTGTTTGACTGCTTTATCTAAGGAGGATCTAGAATGAATGCAACATAGCATAGAATACCTCTGAGCCCACATGTCTCTCAAGTCAAGGGTAAGATGCTCCTGCAGAAATTAGCTTTCCTCATATTAAAGCATGCTAACCATTTGTTTTGAAATACAACTTCTCCTTTGTAAACAACTTAAAATGTGCCAGTCAAACACCAGCAGCTGGACTGTCCTCTAGCATTTGAAATTAGAGCAAGAGACCAGAACAGTGTGCCTCCCTCCATCCTCATCTTAAAAATTGCCAAGGCAGAGCAAATGTGTAACGCAGACAACAGCAGCATTGATTTATGCAAGAGCCAGTGCTCATTTCCTTTAACATAAAGCCCTTCAGAACTTCATTTATGATTAAGCAATTGAACAAACATACTGTGTAGTGGTATGGGTAGGAGGCAATTTGTTTTACAAAGAAGCACGAGGAAAACCATCCCAGATTTACTTAGTGAAGCAAAACAAATGCCAATTCAAAAAGCACTTAAACTGTACCAACTGGAAATTAAATATTAAGAGTAATTAGCTTAAGTTGCAATTTTAGAACAACTGGTAAGCTGCAGACCTCTTCCTGAAAAACTTCTGTAGCACTGCCTGCAAGCACAGCACAGGCACAGCCACACGTGACAGAGCTGCTTGCTCTAGACAGACTGCAGGACAACACAGGATGAGAGCACATCACAGCACACAAGTCCTGACTGCTGGCCTGAGCCAACAGCTCTTCCTCCATGGACTTGATTAGGAAAGAAAAAGGCAGCTGCAAGCATATTTAGAAAAGCCCATTCTGTACCCTACCGTGCTACAACACTGTTTCAGCCCCAGGTCTCAGGGACACTGTTTCACAGCTTCTGCAGCAGGCAAGGTCACTGGCTCCTCTATTGGCTTCTCATGACTAGAAATTGCAATTTTCTGCAAGGCTTCTGCTACAATACAGCACAACTCACACCAAGTTAAATGATGTGGAGCAGACATCTATCTGCTCCTACGCACTCTCCAAGTGATGACATGGCTAATGGGATTGCTCAGAAACAGCTTCTTGCAGAACCTCAAGCTAGGCTGCATCTCTGTCAGCCTGTTTCTGCGTGGGGAAGGCTGCTTTTCTTACCCGGAGAATCTCTCTGGAGATATAGGCTATCCAGTCTTCTTTCAGGGTATTCCCTTTTGTGTTCTTCACAAGGTCTGTGATAGAGCCAGCTCCACAAAACTCCATAACAAGCTGCAAAACAAATATCCGTGCACAACCAACATTAAACACAGATCTCAGCTGTATAGCAAAGCAAAATAATCAGGTTACAGCATTAATTTGGGAAGCTCTTGTGAAGTAGAGAATGTATTTTACATCTCTGCCTGGAAAATGGATTCAACCAAATGTCTTCAATGTGTGTTAGACATATATGGAATATGTCTCACATTAGTTACCACATTTTCAAGGACTGATTTAATCACTGTAATTTAATGCTGGGAATCTGGATTTGCTCAGCTATGCAAAATACATTAGCAGGAAGAGCACATCCAATGCTGAAGGAATCAAACTCATCACATCACTGCAACACTTCTTATCCTTTAACTTCCATGTATTTATGGAAGAACGTGCTCCCTGCCATTTCAACCCCAAACTTCAGTCCTCTAGAGGGTGTAGATGAGGTGGGATAAAAAATGTAACGGGTACAATCTCAAATGCAGCTTTCTTTTTACAGTCACATATTCTTACTGCTCAGCTGTCTTGTTCCTATGAAACATGTTACTATCCATCTGGGAAAAAAAGTTACTTAAAGAACAAATCCACTGCTTATAGCAAATCTTGGTTCAGACATCTCCTTAAGGATGTGTGATTAGCCTCTGTGATTCACTTATCTAGCAGTTCAGGCAAGCACCAAACTCCTTTAGTCTGTCATTCCATAAAGTGGTATTTCTCTGATTATCAATCTATATCCAATAGGGAAACACTTAGGAACGTGTTTGAAAAACATCTGCTTACCCACAGTTGGTCATCATGTCCTGGAGGACTTTTCTTAATGAAAGCACCATAATAAGTTGCAATATTTCTATGATGAGAATATTTCTTTAGCATATTAATCTCCAGCTTGATTTCTTCTTCTTCATCCTTTGGAAAAAAAAAATAAAACAAACCCCCATATGTTTAACATGCCCCATGCATTATTGATTTATTCCTCACTTTCACAAAAGTACATTTTTTCTGAACTTCAATTTATACCAGCACCATGTTCAGTAAACCCCTCTGATGTTCATGCCATCAAAATCCTGTCTATTGAGATGGTCTAAAACAAGTCTTTCCCAGGTTTTTAGTAGCGCAAAGAAACAAATAAAAGATGCAATGGATTTGACCCAGTGATGGAACATGACATAATCTGTTTCAAAAACCCAACGCTTGTAGCAGCTTAAGTAAATCCATAGCTAGCAGGCTGGGAATTTATGACAGAGGAATATTATTTCCATCTTCTTCAATTTTTGTCCTTTCGTTTTATTAATTTTAACCAGTTCTATTAAAATGCCAGACAGTGGCTTTGTTAAACCACCTGCCAAAGCAGGTTCCCATCTTGGTGCCAGCATTGGACTGACACAGGAAAACAGAGGTGGAGATCAGGAATTCCCCTTACTGCAAGAACAAGGCATTTGCCTCGTGCACAAGCTTCCTTCTCCTCCTCCATCTGCCTCTGTGGAGGAAGAGCAAGTGCATCAGGAAGAATGGGCCAGGAGCCCAGGCAGTAAACAGGATGCTGAGACACAAAGGCGGAGGAAGGATTTCCCCTGGCTCCCCCCGCTCCAGCAAGGTGCCAAGCAAAGAGCAGCTCAGGTGAAGGGAGGTCATCCCTCCAAAGAGCTGAAATGGGTAACATAATGAAACCACTCCTTAAAAGACCCACAACCTGCTTTTGAAGTGACAGTAGGACAAGCTGCATGGAAGGATCCACACGCTTTGAGGTGCTGTGTGAGCAGGCAGACAGCAGATACAAAAGAAGGAGAGGACACCAACCCACCCCCAACTCTCTCTTCCCACACCTAGACAGCAGGAGTCTTCTTCAAGCACCTAGCAAGGCAACAAATTAAAAGGCAGGTGGATACTCCTTTTTGCTCCATAATTTTATATCCAAGCAGAAAAACATCTACCTTAAACTGATTCCAGGAAGAAGCGAAAACTTCTCCCTAGGGTTGCTGGCTGATGGGAACGGTAGCACATACGCTAATTATTCTGTGATGCCAAAGCTGATTATATGATAAAATTTTAAGCTTAAACTTCCTCGCAATTTGTACCATGCTAGCAATCAAATATCCTATTCATGACATAAGCAGATGTTAATAGTAGCTTTGTGTTAACTCCTTATACACACCCATACACACGGCTTGAACAACAGACACCACTCTCTGCTACAAAGCTAACGACAACCATTAGTACATGCTACGACCATTTCAAACACTCTAATAGTGGGGTGCAACGCTTACTCGTAAATTATTATGACACAATTCCCAAAATGCACCAGGGATAAACTATTCTTATCTTCTTAAGATGTGCCTTTGAAGTAAAATACTGGGTATTTCTGGAAGACTGAACAAAATAGCAAGAAAACCTTGTAAATCAAAGTTCCTAGTGAACAGCAGCCCTGGGAGAGAGCGTTGTCAGAAAAGCTTTTTGAGCCAAAAGCTAACTTGGTGCTTCCTCAGCTGCTTCTGTTGTCCTTGCTTTTGAATGATTTTTTATTTATTCAGACTATATGCAAAAAGAAAAAAGAGAGGTGGAAGACAGGCTTATATTACACCAAACCTCTAACTGTGCATTTAGGCAAAAAGAAATTAAACAGGGGCATTGTTAAACTTGATGCCTTGGGACTTAATTGCTGATAGGTTAATATGTATAATTGGATTAATCTGCTATTTTGAACTGACTTTTTAGATAAAAATTACTTCCTACCCTCAGCACATGAACACAATAGCTTTTGCAATACAATGGGCAGGATGTCCTAAAGGTTGTTTGTGTTTGTTTATTGTAACAGCAGCCAAAATGACAATACTTAAACAGGATCTATTTCTGAAAAATGAAATAATAAAAATCCCAGCCCCCCTCCCCCCCAAAATAAAAAAAGAGCAAACAACAAAAAAGGAACACACAGAGCCAGCAGACTGCAGACAGTGACTGCTCTTTCAGCCCTCCACTGAGTCTGTGTCACAGCACCTGCTCAAAGGCCTGCAGCAGAATCTCCCTGCAGCAATATCTCCCCAAGTACCTCCCTGAACTACAGCTAACAATGGTCCTACATTCATATTTCAGCTGCCTTTGAGCACTTGTCCACAACACAAATAGCTCCTCACCTACAGTTCAATCCAGTACAAAATGCAGTTTACAATAATAAATGGATTCAGTACTTTTTGCCAGGCTTTGGAAGAATCCCCTTAGTTAGTGTGGATCGATAAGCCCCTGGCAGTGAGTCCTGAAGACTCTCTGGCGACAGGAACTATTATGAGGAATAATCAGCACAGAAAAGGCTGAAGCACCAGTGTGATGCAGCAATTGGTAGAAGACTAAAAAAAGGAAATTAAAACAAAAAGTTGGCAAGATCAAAATTGTTCTGTTCCAGATTCAGGAGCATTTTTTTTTTCCAGGGTACAGGTCATTTCATCCCAATGTGGACATCTGAAAGAGGCCAAACAATGTGCACCCTACTGGTGTTTACTTCTCCCCACTAACTACAAAAGGAGGGTGAGGTCATTAACCAAGATCCAGACACCAATCTTGCAGACATCACCAGATGTCTCGCATCAGGGTGAGATGAGTCCCACCCAAAAATATCACCAGATAAGTCCCTTTCCACACAGATCCCCTTATGGACACACGTGCCTCAGGGAGGGTACCCTGCAGCCTGCAGCAGGGATCCTCCTGAGGATTGGCAGCCCTCCTGGGATGTGTACATGTGAGTGTGTCAGGGGCACACTTCCTGCCTCAGAGATGGAAGGTCTGTCACCTCCTCCAGACAACACATGCACTGCACCAACACCACTGACAGTGCCTCCATTTGCAGAGGCAAGGGTATCACAAAAGCAGAAAATTAAAACTGATTGAGGCAAGAGACTGTCATTCTCATGAAGTAATACAAAAGTACATCCTTTTTTCTTGAAGGAGAGAGGCAGCTGGTGAGCCCTTCCTAGTGATTTTATGCAGCTGGCATCAATTACCACTTTAAGCCATTATCTGTGAATACAAACTCCCATTGAAACCCTCTTTGTCTTCCCTCTGATGGAGCTGGTGGAAGTGTTTTATACTTCTACATTCCCTGTCTGTTTGTGACAGCACGTCTGATTACCAGTAATTTTTGCAGTAAGCTATACTTTTGCAAGACTCACGTGGTTGAATCAAGCTTGGAGCAGCTTTCCTCTCCCTTTTCATGTGTTTCCCTTCAGAGACTAAATGGACGTGCCAGCATCCCTAGGGGTTTCTAACTGCAACACTCTTTTACCAAAATAATCTTGCCTGTAAGATTAAAACCTGCATATGACTCCCACACAGAAATCCACCTATGTACATTCAGATAATTTCTAACCATATGAATCAGCACACTGAAAATAAACCCAGGTGTGTTACCTCTCAGCCCACCACCCAGCAGCACCTGACCAGCTTGCTTACTGCTCCACCACAAAGCTCAACATCCCTTGTTCTTCCATTCATCACTGCACACTAAATATCAGCATGGGGTTTTGTGCATGCAGATGGCAAATCAATGACTTGTTTTTATTGCTTCAGCAATTACAAAATTGTGATGATTTAAGTAGCTGAAGATTTCAGTATTTGACCACGGTTGCCACTGGAGAAACTCGCAGTCAAAAATGCTACTAGTGCAGATCCAGGTAAGGAAGATTATGAGCTGTTTTCCAAAGGTAACACTCCACCCCCTGAAACATCATGGAAAGAAAACACTGCGTATTTACACAAATTTTTAGAAGACAAGGAATTCAGAAACACTTTTGAGGGATGGAAAAGAAGTAGGCTCTAGAAGTGTCAGGATCAGGGAGGACATAACCAAAGGGAAAGTCACTTCAAGTCTGTCCCTAAACATCATTGTCTAGATGCCTCAGGAGACCAAGCACAACCGTCCTAACCTATTCCAGCACTAAAACAGGTATGAGACCCCTATGAGAAATTGTCTCTGAGAAACACACCTGGAAGATTCAGGGGGAAATAATACTGTTTCCCAAGCTCTATAGCACAATGAAATTATTTCAGGAGCTGAATTTAAAAAAAAAAAAAAAAAAAAAACAAACCCAAACCTCCCAAAGGTAGAGCAAAGACATGTCTCAAGGCATGTAAGTGGTGACTTTCCATTCAAACTCCCTCACCTGGAAGATCTGCCTGACTACTGCTCTTGGCTGGAAGTTTATTCTGCCAACCCAAGGAGGAGAAACTCAGTATTATCTCCAAAGGTTTTATTTACCCTACTTATTATGATGATGGGAAATGCGAATGAGAAAGCACAGTCCAGCAAGGTTAAAGCAAGACAATGTTCTGTGATAAAGGAGAGAGCAAGTTTACTCATCCTACCAGATGATTTATATGTTGCTCTAAATCAGTGTGAAACAGAATACAAATTGGTCCTTTCAGTAACTTTGCTTTCTGATTTAAGAAATGAGACATTGACAAATCTCATCTCTCTTCTCACAAATGACATCCAGTCATTTCAAGCTACAATCAAGGGGTTTTTTAGAATTAATATCACTACCAAACAGTGTAAAATCAAACACCAGCAAAACAGGATGGAGTGAGGGAAGCTTTCAAATCTCCTCTCCTTTGCTTTCCTTCTGCTCACAAAGCTCTGCCTGTCTATACCCATGGAGCTGCCCTGCCTGGAGAATGGCAGCTGGCAATACTCTGCCTGGGGCTTCAGAGTAAGCAGAGTTCCTGAGGATCACGAGCTCCAGTGGCAGCTTCTGACATTTTGGAATCCTGAGATCACAGCAGAGTTGGGATCTGCGTAGAGCAGCAGGCAGCAGCCTCAGCCCAGCACTGGGAGTGAAAAGGCACTGCTAACACTGCTAACCCATGGACTCCCAGAGCAGTGGAGAGGAAACCAGTCTGCCTTCACAAGCATCAAAATGATA